GAGGATATTGATTGAAGTACCGTTCACGAGTAATTCTCAAGATGTAACCCGTGAGTCATTTTAGAGGTTCTATTTGAACGGTAATAGGACATACATAAGCAATATATTGTGCTTTTCTGCATTTGACAACATTCTTCTACTATCATTACATACAACAGTGAACATTATTGGCACTTTAATAATAAACAAATACACTCAGACGGATTAACAAAGATGCTTTTGTTTCATGACCACCTTATTTTTTGTGCTCTATTTTCAATTTTAAAGTAAATGTCTATTTTTCGAATGACCAGTTTTATCAAAATATAAAATAAAGAAACCAGATCTGTTTTTAAGGAAATGAAGTTGAGGATGACTCTAAAAAACCTAAGCGTTTGACATTTAAAATCTAATAATGTGAGGTTGTAGGCTAGAAAAAGTTGCAATGGGAAGGTGTTTCCAAAAATCTTTTTAAATTAAAATAAAATAAAAAACAAACTACATTTTTAAATTTTTTTTCGAAGGTTTCGAAATTGCTTCATTTTCTAAGCAGCGTTAGATTTGACACTAAACTGTGCCACTTTGACTATAACCGACTTCATTCTCGAATTTTGGCCACTGTACACACTTACTCAAGTTGGTGCAGCAGTGGCGATCCACTGGATAGGGACTTTAAATCACTTTCATAAGGGCAATAAGAAGATTCAGGCTACTGGTATTTGGGTTTTCCCATCCTCAATGTTTTCAAGGTGTTTGAGACCAGCTCCTCTTGATTTCTGTTTTCTATTATTAAAATTTCCCCTGCTGCAAAATGCAGCGTTAAGTTTAGTAGAAATGCAAATTTGTGGGCCGAAGACGTCGGTATAAAACGACACATTCTGAACCACCGGTTTACTTAGGACAATAATGTACGTGTCAAATTCTTGACAGAACAACTTAGTAACTCGCGCTTTTGGAAGAGGGTCTTCAAAAAATGGCAAGTGTGGGAAAAAAAACGTTTCCCACGAAAGCTTATTACTTTCCGACGTAAAATAAGAATATGCAATAAAAAGTATAGATTTCTATTCAAAAAAATTAAATTGCTTTACACTTGGCCCTTAAAGGAAAGTTATGTGAAAATGCACCTAGCATTGTTAACTGGGCCCTTCCATATAAAGAATATTTTATATAAATCATTTTTTGATATTCCCGCTAGTTTCTGCAACAATCGATTGTCTCATGATAAATTGGACACCCTGTATATAAATTAATTACGTGGCATTCAAATATAAGATTACTGAACTGGTAGTCGCAAAGTTTACTGCAACTCACAAAAGAAATGACCGCAACACCCCAATTCGTCTCACTCATGCAGGTGCAGTTAAATCTTCTCCTGAAACTGATATCTTTTCTAGGCAAAAATGCTTGCTTCAAAACCATCGTATATAATCCGCTATTTATTATTGTTCTGTTTCGAATTCCACGTCTTGGTTATACTGGGACAAAACCGAAATTTACCTTTTGCTAAATTAGTAATTCTAATTAACTCACGCAAGTCGATAATTTATTATGACCCGCTTTCTCGTAAATACCTCGGGCCTCACGTTGTCGGGTACTCGTATTTGAATAGTTAACCACTTGAAAATTTTGCTGGTTAATAAAGAAAATATGATATAAAAAAATATTTTTGACAGTCTGACATCCTTTACGCCTAATGTACAATTCGTAAAATTTTAACGAAATTATAGTGACCGTTTTGCCAACAATAAGTATTTCTATTTTTTTTATTTTTTTTGCAATAAAATCTGGCACAATTTTTGTAGGTTGTACATAGAAAAAAGGATCGTTTGCGTATACCCAATATATATATTTTGAACACAATCCGTCGAGTATCTCCGAAAATTGCTAACGTACGTGCATACGTACGTGTACGTACAGGGTGGTCCAAATTTACCAACTTTCTTATGGAAACACCCTTTATTTTAAGAGATAGAAGAAAGAGACTTAGGTGTCTGCAACTCAATTTTAAAGAGAAAATCGCTAGCGCATTTGGACCACTCTGTACGTTCATACATACAGACGAGGAAAATTTTATTCTTTAATGTTGCTTAAAATTATCGATATTTGATGAAATTTTGACGTGTCCAAAACAACACTGATCGCACTGAGATGATCGGCGTGCAAATGCAAATTTTGGAGCTTTCGTGTATGTACCTCTCAAACGACGCTTTGGAGCATTCCGTTTATTACTGTTTTAAGAATGAAACGGTAATTTGAATAAGGCTGTGGTACCACTAATTAAATTATCAGAATTAGTCAATCGTTACCTGGCGAGAAGGTTTTATTCTTCTATAAATACACTTACAGGTTCGTTAATTAACGCCAATGGAATTGTTTTCAATCGTTTACACTCAAGGAAAATATTCCCGACAAATGAACATGAACACTTATCCTTATCCCTATACTATACAACATAGCTGAAATTTATACCACTTACCAATTAATAATGAACAACCTTTATCGTATAATAAAAAATTTTCTATGGTTAGCACAGATACCACCCCCACACTTGTGCATGTGCGATTCTGGCCTTTTATGTCGAAGAATATGTGTCCCAAATTTGGTTCCAATCGGTTTAGCCGTTTAGCCAGAAATGAGAGTACAGACCGACAAACAGACCGATTGATATCATCGAGATTTTGTTTGATTCGGATTCCTGGTGCTTCAAAACGTGTATTTCCGTAAAAAAAAGTGGAGGGCCATTCTTCACCCCAATGCAATACCTCCCTTACCTTACTAACGCGCGAGTGGTAAACATGTCCTATTTAAATTCTGAAGTCTCTCACCTCCCCCCACGACATCATAAACACAAAATTCACGATGCAGGAGTCCGTTACAAGATTTGTAAAAAAAAATGGGCGAGAGGGTAGATAAAAAGGGCATTTCGTCCAAACAAGTCAAGGGTTTACCCCTAAATGATTACATTTCTCGACGAATTGGGTCTCTGGGGGTTTTTGTACATGAACATAACGAATTTAAAGTTCTGTAATTCTTACAAAACTGTCATTCTTGCCCGAACAACACAGATGGTCAAAACTTTTCGTAGTCGACTGCACATACTTTTTATCTATTTAAAAACTAAACCATCGAACAGTTTTCACATACGGTTTTACAAAAAGTTTTTCTATGTATTTTTCCATCGGATAGATTAAAAACGAGATAGAGATAATTCCGTTTTAGAACTTTAAAAAGCGCCGATATGCCAATTTTAGGTTTGAAGGAAATATTTTTGAAGATGAAGTTTATTTACTAATTCCATCTTTCCCCACAAGTAAAATTTAAAATTACGTAAAAGGACATCAAGTTATGAGCTGAATATCACCTGATTTTGTTTTCTTTTATTTTCCTGTCGCATAAATTTATAGGAGCGCGTTTGGAATTGAAGTGTGGAATATTCTGAATAATAAAATGCAATTTAAAGTTTTAGAATTCCTAAAGAGATTAGCGAGTAAGTTTTATAGAACCTAAAAAAATTCTTCGCAAACTTAAGAACCGCCGCTTTTGACAATTTACTTTTGAGTAACCGAAAATGGCTCTGTTTTTTCTACCGAAAGATTAGCTACATTTTGCGTTTTATACACTACGTGAAACGTACCTTTTTGGAGTGATATAATGGTAACACAAACATTGAGTTTTATATTATGCCGTTCTATTGGTTTATGAAATTTAATAACGGATACTGTAAGAAAGAGTTACATTTATTCAGTGCAGGTAAACATGTGTGAACGCTTTAGAATACGCATTTTTCCGATTTCCTAAATATTTTCCTAAAAGTCGTATTCCAAGGTGGCTCAAAGTCAAAGGTTTACGCTCTTTGGGAGTGTAAGAAATTTTCCAACCACTATGGTTGGTAGAAGTTAATTCCTTTCATTGCGACCTTTCATTACAGTACCATGAAGGATATAATAAGCTCCCCCTCTCCCGCCCCATACCCTATTTTGATAAGGGATAAGAAAGAAGGGCGGCAGTTGGTAGAGAATAGTTCGATTTGTTGATACCTTTAACAGGAATACCATGAGAGATCAAATCGCCCCCCCCCTCCCTAAGCATAGCTTTTCAAAAGGCATGCGTATGCAAAATGTGAGACCAAATAGTTGTCGCAACTCGCATGTAAAAGCACGATTTACTTTCAAAAACAGTATATCGGTAAATAATTCATGGGTGGGGGGGGATTATGATAACAAAATTCGATGATGGTGGTCTAGCACACCTTCAAGTTATATGCTACCTATTGCAAACAATTCCACTCTAGGACTCTAGGACAATTCCCCTAAAAGTAGGTTCAAAACCGCAGAAGTGGGTCCGGGTGTACAGACAGATGGGTGAACAAAACGCAAACACCTTTTTTTTTTAATTCTTAAAAAATGCGTTAAAAAACAAATGCTCTCAGACAAATGGAATTGCATATCGAATGTGTGTATAGGTACCTAACTTTAGGGAGATCAACAGAGTCATTATGATCTTTATCCTGTGTGTCGGAGAACTGGATATTTTTTTCAAACTTGCAAAGGTGACTCGCAGCAACTCATTTTTTATCGCCCATTATTTGTACCTAATCAAGAGATTCGTTATGGTATTTTTAGCCAGTGATATCAGATTTCTTTCGCTTCTCAGATTAGGGGCGCAAATCTGAAATATGACCTGAAAGGGGGAGGGGGGGAGGAGGCACAACATTCCCTCGCACTCCCCAAAACATTTCGTTATAGTGCTTTTAAAAGTGGCCTGCAGTTGCCACGTATCTCAAAAAGAGGTGGACGTGCTGGGTTACTTTTTCGTGCACAATCAAGCACTAACGAAGCACTAACGATTGGCATGCAATTTCACGCACCTTTTCTTGTCAATTTAAATACTCCATCTGAAAACTAATTTCTTCATCGGGAACATCAGTGGGAATGTAGGTAGATTGAGTTCGTGATATCAGCAACAATTTAATATTTATATACGAGATCTGCATTTACTACATAAAGCTTTTTCTGTTTCAGAGTGCGACCAGACTTTTGTGAGTAGACAAGGAGGTCCATTAAACGGCACATTCCACGCTCCAGAATATCTAAATCCAAAGGGACATTCACGACAGTGCGTTTATATTTTCGTTGCTGGACCAGGACATCGCGTTGAGGTGGTTTTCACCTCGTTTAAATTACGTGGAGCCCCACCCGAGTGAGTACTAGCAATTCCTCTTGAATTATTATTATTTACTTCGGTGTACAAAAAAATGCTGCATGCCTTATTAACGTCAACGCAATCTTAATATACAAATTTAGCATTTTAGATACTAAACTTAAATTTAAAAAGACAAAATAACTTTGATTTGGTCAATAAAAAATTTGAGGTACCTAAAGTGACTCTGCTAATATTTAGTAACTTTTTGCTATTGCAAGCGCATTAGATGGTGCATAATAATATATGTGCATTATATGTGTGTTCTCCTAAAGTAAGTGGGTGCTTGAATATTAACCACCATTATTGAAAGTTCTGGTCAGTACATGTAAGGTGACTTTAATCACGTTCAAGCTGTATACAATATATGAATGAGTTCATGTGTAACGAAGGTGTTATAATACTATACTCGTATAATAATACAGTGCCAAATAGAAAATATCAAATTAACAAAAAATCTGTGCTTAAAGGTGTTATAGGAAACTTATAGGTACTTACCAATAATCGAAGTTTAGATTAAACTTAGCGATACAAAACTATATGTAAAAGGTAGGGCGTGAACTTACAAGCAGATGTAGACCCAGTTAATAATCTACAGTGAGTAGATATAAAAAGTAGCGCGATTAACCGCCAATTTAGTGCAAAATTTCGACCATAGTCAAAAAGCCCAAAACCGCCATATGCACATACAGTGAATTTTTTTTAAATGCGAACATAGGAGTTTGTATGCAATGTAATTTCCCTATGTTCGATTTAAAAAAAAACACATCAATCTATTGAGTAGTTCAAATGAGTAGTAGATACAATTGACAGCTGTCACATTTTTAAAAATACCGTCGCCCAATTTAATTACGAAATCGGTTAGTTTATTGCTTAGAATGTCAAGGAGGACACTTCGAACATTTATTGTAATTGTTTGCGTTATTTATTTTATTATTTTCTTCATTTATGTATTGAATAAAGCAAATTAGTAGAATACCAGGTGCACATGGCCTACAAATAATTGAAGGTTGGTTCACAATGAATTGTGATGTCAGCGCGTGCCATGTGAAGTCAAGTTATCGTAAGTTTAAGAAAAATTTATCCTAAAGTTGCTATGACCTCACATGGCTTAATTAAAAAAATCTTACCGAGTGCTCTTCATCATAAAGACTATGAATTGCTGTTCATAGTCACACAATTTGCGCGTTTTGGGAATGTGAACCGCGCACCTCTCATAGATTGATGTGTTTTTTTTTAATCGAATATAGGGAAATTACAATGCATGCAAACTCCTATGTTCGCATTTAAAAAAAAACTCACTGTATATCCTTACAAATCTTAAGGTGTTGAGGGTATGAAATGAGTCACAAACGAAGAAGTTAGCCCGACATATTTCGAATTATTATAAAAAAATAATGCTGCCACTTACAACTGGCAGACGAGTGATTTTATTACTAGTTTTCAACGTACTTTCAGCCTGTATTGTCGAATATTTTTATTATGGTTTAGTTACTATGTACGCTGCCTCCCGGTCTATAAGTAAATAATATGGTATGAGATACGAGCAAGTTCCGAGATACGACCGTATTACTGTTGAACGAAAAATCAATGTTTCGCCCACTTCTTAGGACAAGACCCTTGTTATTGAAACTTATTCCGTCAGGAGAAATTGGCGAAAGTGATACATCATCCAATCGGATGACAGATTTCCAAAGCGGAGAAAGTGACCATTCCTTGTCACGGTGGAAATTGTTAGGGTGCTTGAAGATCTCAATGCCCTCGTGGATTTTTCTTTGGTAGAAGAAGGGAGAATGGGAGAGTTTGCCTCCTGAAATATAATACTGTGGCCGTTTTGAAGAGAATGGTCAGGAAACGCAGACTTAAGAGATGTGATGACCTCGAACATGCTGTTCGTGCTCGGAAACTTGAGTGCTAACGAAGCTGTAGACTGAACTACAAGAACAGGAAATGCGATACACGCCTTTGCAAGATAGGTAATAGGAAAGAGAATGTCAGAATTTTATAAATAATAACAAAGTTGGTTCTGCACATGCGAAAATCTATTTCATAGTATGTCCACTAGAGTCACTTATGAGAAGTATCGGTATTTAAAATTTTGTTAAAATATCGGGGTAAATAACAGTTACTGTGCACTCACGCAGAAACGGAAACGCATTGCACATTCGTTTTTCTTTTCGCTCTCCCTACGTGTTGTAACCTATAAAATAAAAAAACGGAGCCTTCTACGACGTGCTGAGACATTTTTCGTGAAATAAATACGATAATAAGTGGGCGCAGCCTGCTTCAGAGCAAAAATTATTAATTCTGAAAGACTATCATTTATTATTATCGTACTAGGGGTGGTCCCAGTTGATTTCTGCACTGCGACCCTTTGGTCTATTGTGCTACCCGGTATTGTCTATCCTTCAAAAATGCCTGTGCCTTTAAGAAAGTCCAGAATTTTGATAAGGCGAACCCACGTTACTTCACAATGCCAAATGACGTGAAGTGGTGTTTCTTCTTCCTCACCAGATGCACATGCACATGGTGGTCTTACGATAAGGAAGAAAGAAATAACGCAATGTATATCCTCACTAGAGTATAGGTGAAATTCAGAATCCCCAAATTACGAATCCAATCGCCAGAGATCAATACGAGTATACATGGATGATGGCAATTAAAATTCCGGGCGTTCTAACTCACGATTTCAGCTGTTTGTGAAAACGAAGTGTATTTTAATACGGATTACGAAAAAAAAGAAGATGAAAATCGACACGCACGAATCAAAGCGCTGGTAGTATGCGCATTTTGCGTTTTTAACTTCCAACAATAGACGGAGCTATCTATGAAATTGATTTAAATGTTACGACGATCTTTTAACAAGTAATAAACCGTAAACGGTAGATAATAATGCTTTGTAAATAAATCGTTACACATCAGAGGCGTTTTCGCAAATTGTTGCTTTACATGCATATAACTGCCCACATTTTTACAAATCGTCCTTTACTTATCCTCCACACTTGCGCTCAATTATAAATTTTACTAAAGTACCTCAAAAACTGATCAAACAATGGGAGCTCTTATGCCGGAAGTTATTCTGCATTACTGAATTTGTGTTTGCCCGTATCCTTATTTTTGTACCAAAAAAGCAAACCTTTACTTCAGAGCACAGCCTTTTACTTAAACAAAACAGCTCTTTAGTGAATAGAACCTGAAGCGAAGTATACGGGGTGTTCATTTGAAAACTTCCCACCACGGATTTATCGAAAACCACTGATTAATGGAAAAATCGCAGAGACTCGTTGAAAGATTTGACAAGGGGGACAACTGTTTAACCAAAAACTACTTCACTCCCTTTCACACACAGGAAAATCTTTATTTAATTTATTTAATCGACCTATGTTAATTTGTTCAGATAGAAAACAAAAACAAACGAAAATATCACTTACTTATTCCCATGGGAAGGAAATAATTTAATTTGCTGTTAGTTACCTTTGTGACAATCTTGGAATAGTGAAAATCAATTTATTGATTCAGATTTTACTTCCAAAAGGGTTTACACACTAAACCAAAGGGTGGAAATTAATCTAATTTATGGTGCCCAAAATCATAGTGCTCGGCAAACTGCCGTCACGTTTAATGCCGGACCTCCGGAAAAGTTTTCTATCTGAACAAATTAAGATAGGTCGATTTTTCTAATTTTCTCGAAAACGAATCGACCGATTTTAAAAAATCAAGCGTCAAAATAACGGACTTCGAAAGACCTTTCCAACAAGATATTACTCGATACCAATTGTCATTTAAGATTTTTAAAGGAATGGCCCTGGCGGGCAGAGGGTGAAAGAGGGTGATGTAGTTTTTGGTTAAACAGTGGTCCCCCTTGACAAATCTTTTGACGTGTCTCGGGGTTTTTGCCATTAGTCAGTGGTTTTCGATAAATCCGTAGTGGGAAGTTTTCAATAGGTAGCAAGTGTATGCTTATGGATTACGTATATGCATTTACCTAATCATAGGCCTAGACTTTCGTCATATGGCTGGTTTCACAAACGATGATTAAGGTTAATCAATGATTAGAAATCTTAGAATCGGAAACACATAATTAAAGATGGCTAACATCCTCAAATTTTTTTAAATCACTGATTACTTTTGTGAAATCGGGCATTCATCTTCTTGCAAGATATATTCTAAAGTACTAACGGATCCTAGATTGTGTTTTCTTGATTTTACTGTAATTTACTGTTTGTTTAGAATACGGGATTAGCAATTGCAATATGCACCTTATGCATTGACAAGCGCTTTTCTGAATTAGGAAAGCAGATTTAGCATTAGCCAGTAGCATTTATTTACACGTAACTTGCATACAAATCGTGTACAAATCTACTTGTTGGTTCACGAGTTCGATAAATTTCAAATTCGAAATTGCTTGTCAAAGGATTTTAATGCAAATGGGGTTCCTTATTTTATATTTACATTGGATTTGGGTCTATCTTGGAAGTGGGTATACCTAGGTAGGTACATACTCGTACATACCTACATACCTAAAGTGGCGAGTTGATACGCTTTAATGTAACACCACATTGCACCGTTTGGGCAAACTCACGAATAGACAGTTACGTTTTCCAAATGCAGGCACTAAGCGGCTGATTGTTCTGAAGGAAGTAAATAAAATAACTGGAAAAGCTTATATATTGTGTATTTGTGTACACCCTTTTTTGTATAAAATATGTAATACATACTTTCTCAATTATTTACCTCCATATATATCGTTTCATGTAACCAACGGGCAAATCATCAGATTTTTACGTAAGTATATTTGACCTAACAGAATGACGACGGTTAACGCAATCGACGTAGTGTACTAACAAATTTCCTTTTTGGCAGTTAGTGGACTATCTCTTTGTGAAGAGGGTTTGCAAATATACACGAACATATCATAATGGGGTTTTTTATTAGTAACCTTCAGCAATCAACATATGCATTAGTGTATGAAAAGTAATTTGCAGCATGAGAGACTCCTAAAACGTTTCCAATAACGTTCCGCTCTCTTTTTTTTCCATACACAGATTTTTATATTATAAGCGGGGTTAGTTTTAATTTCAATAATCCCGATATAATGCGCCGTGTTAATAGGAGAGGTCTGACAGTTGCGCAATTATATTTGATTGGAATTGGAATATTGCAGTGTAGCTTTTTCGAATGATTAATAAGTGCACCATCCTGTCACGAGTAATTGTAAAACTGGCACTTATTATCTATATTACATTTATATAGTTTTCTCCTGCATAAACCTTTACTTTATATTACATACTATACATGTATAGTGTCAGCAATCGGGTATATAAACGGGAAAACATTTGTTGTGCTTTATTTACAAATATGAATGACAGATACTTTGAAAAAATTTATTTGTTTATCGTCCAATAAAAGTAACTACGAATCGTAATTTAAAAAATTGAAATCTAAATCTTCATACTAGAATCAAAATTCACTTCACATTTTTTCAACATTAGTAATTTCAAAGTAACACAACATTTTATGAAAAATAATTTTGTTTTATTAGTCAATATTTAACATTTTCCCTCCATACTGTATATACGTTGTCATTAAACTTGCCATTTTGACATAATTGCTGTAAATGACTATATCTTTGAGAAAATCATTTTAATCTTAGGGACAAAACATCGACATTATGGTACTCTTGTCTAAACTATCAACTTCTAAATCTAATTTTCGTACGGTTAAGGGAAAATAATTAGCATCGTAAAGCTTGGCATAAAATGTTAACGAAGGTGGTTCATATTCAAGTACCTTTGCACGAAAAAAGGCCACTGCAGGTGTTGACTGATTGTTCTTATATTGCCACAGTGGGGCAGCCGGAGAAATCCCTCCGTGAGTACCACAACTTTCATTTTTCTTTTTCTCTCCTATTTGCATGCTGTTTTATTTATTTTTGTTGTGCTTTAAATGTGTACCTAATACTGCACAGTCTATAAGTAAAATTTCATAGTGAACGCAGGTACTTACTTAGTTTTTAAATTATACAGTTCCGTCAAGCTAAACAGTACCGAAACTAAGACCACTGTGAGAACTACGTAGAGAACTATGACAAAGGATAACTGCAACTACCGCAGTCACTATAATATTTTTTGTGCAATCGGCTGCGAAATGGGCAATTCGCGGCCTCTCTAGCGGGGCGAAATCGGCCGCTAGCCCTGTAGCTATAACATATAAGTAAAATTAGACCATTTTGTGTAATATTTATGAATAGAAAGCCATGGTAACACTATTTCGTACACTTTCTCATGGCAGGCCACAATTGACAGAAGGTATTTAAAAATTAAAATTGAAAATTTGAAACATTGTTTATTTTTATTTATAAATATTGCGATTGCACAAAAAATGTTGTCGCTTACACCTCGGCCAAAACTTATTCTCTCGGTACACCAATCATTTAGCAGCCTTGGTATACAAATAACTATGATAATTTGCAAGTCTTTATTAAGCCCGTTTGCGCCGCAATGCTGCACATGTTTAACTTTCAAATGATCTAAATGGCTTTCGATACGGTTTATTTTGACGTATACTGTATAGATAGTTGAGGTTCACATTTAGGTGTTTTTCATACCATCCCTTTGTTAATGTTTAATGTTTTGAACGAAACCATCGTGACGGTTCGTATACCAAAGTTTCCTAATAATTTAATTTTATTAGTACAAGAGAGCACCAGAGCATTAGCATACTATCGGTATTTTTAGCATCCCCTATTTGTGCCAAAATTGTGTGTCTACTACAGTTTTTTCACGGCTATTTAATACCGCAAATTGTGCTTTGAAGATTTTTTCTTGGTAAACCTATTACTAAATGACAGTGTATACAAAGTACATATACTATACAGGGTGTTTTTTGGGTCAGATACAGACGGTACCTTGAAAATTGATTACTTGATTCTGTCCATTTCACCACAAATATAACAATGAAATTCCAAATATCTTCATGGATGAAACCACTGCGGGCAATTTTTCGACTATCGAGATACATTATAGTGTCACTAGATTTGTTTAAAATTCAATTGTCATAAAATCATGGCCGACTACTAAAAAGAAAATCCGGAAAAAATGGTATCGATACGGTGAAATGGGAAAAGTCAGAGACTGTTGAAGGTAGCTATAAGAACATGCATTATCAAAATATGCCAATTTTGTCATTTTAAAAAAAAACTGAGCTTTTAAACGAAAGCTCTATTCTTTCTCTATGCAGTGGTAAAAATGGAATGCCATAACTACAATCGTTTTCAAGTAATCAGTATCGTTTGCATCCGGCATTTTTTTTAAATTAAAGGTTAAAATAATATAAAAACCATAAATTGTAGGTGTCGACATGTGGGCCAAAAGAACTGAAATTTCGCGTAGAAATCAAAAGTACAATAAAAAATAGGGGTTGCCATTTAAAATAACGAAGTTACTAGCCACTTCCGGTCTTTCGGGAAGTGCCACCATTTTGAAAATATAATTATAAATATATAATGTTACCGAAACCCGTTTTAAAACCCTTTTCAAATTTTTGGGACCCCTCTCCAAGCTTTTCGTTTTAAAATAATGGCAAAATTAATTAAAGACGCATTCGGCACTTTCGTGGTGACGTCATTACAAAAACATTTCGAATCGATCACGTGACTTTTGCAGATCTTTATTACGTGTAGAGTTGGCTTCCTATAGCCATCTATTCTATGCATTGACATGATCTTTTTGAAATCTCAGTAATTCCTACCTTAAATATTTCTATTTTTCTTCATAATAGTTTCTGAAGTTAATAAAACCTTGGCTCCTCTGTATTAACTAAAGCTGCTACTAAATTACCACACATTCCTATCTTAATAACATCATTAAAATCCTCATTTACTTTCCACGTACTATTGTCCCCTAGTTCGATAAATTACTGCAAATGCGAATAAACATGATTAAAATGACCCACAATAACAGTACCTATGGTTTATTGTAAATCCCGTAGATTCTCACGCACATCAACCTCCATCACCTATATTTTATCCAACTCAGGCATTTATTAGTTTTCTACATCACTAGTACTTTCAGCTTCCTCCTTTTTTGCCCTCTACTTGTGAATATGTATCAAGTTGTTTATTAATCTCCTCCTTGTTCTTTTTTATTGGCAGGCCTGTAATTAAATTTGTTATTCCTGTTGTATCACCCATAGTCTGGGAGATGACGGTAAAAGTTCGCACTTTTGAGTAAAGCTATGATAATTGGCACACGTGCTCTTTGATCGTTCCTCTTAGAGTTCCGACCTGGCGCCACACTTTTTCGTCCCTGGAAACCCCGTTGTTAGAGGGGGGTGAAAGTTTGATTACGGAAATGTTGAGATTTCTAATGACTGTACCATTTTTCCGACACTCTTTTAGCTCTAAACTTGCATAATTAGCCACAAAGGAAAATAAATAAAATCACAAAGATTTTATGGCATTCAGGGGTATAATCTGAACCCTTTAAGTGCGGGTTGCCTACCCCTTCAGGTGCTGATAAGTAGCTACGCCATTTACGGTTTATATGACTGGACTATTAATAAATTCTCTCCATTCGAAAAATGATGGTATGGTTAACTGCTAATGGGAAGTGATTAAATTGTTAACCCCTGACTTCACTTCCACTCCAGTTTCCGGCTTGTTGCCGACCTCTTAGTCGTTGATATGATACTAACTGCAACCGATTTTATATCTTTTGTGTGGAGGGGGAATGATGTAATTGGTTAGGTTTGTTGTGTAAACGCAGAGCCAATAGCCAATCGTAGTCGCGGATGGACGAACACGGTATGTTTTGCTTCATGCGTTTACATCACTTTTTGAATCCACCTTTAACTCTCACACCTTCCTGTGTTGGGAGTTTTTCGGTCATTTTGGACGTCCACCTTCCATTTCGCATCGGGCCCAGTCCCACTTGAATAGATCGGCTACTGATTGTTGAATCTGTAAATCAAAACTACTGTAGTCGGAATTTTCACCTAAAGTCAGTACGAAAATCTCTTTATTTTGGAATAGGTAAGCGTTTAAGGTATTTGGCTTATACTTATACACGTAGTTGATGAATCATTTCACGTAGCAGTAGGAAGTTTTTAGGGCATTTTTGGCAATTACGAAGCTGTAGGGTTGTTCCGGGAAGACGGTAGAGGGTACCAACTGGCAACTGTCTTCTTAAAACTTTTACTGACCTTAGCATTTAGAGAAAGTGATATTTTACATTATTACCTTTAAAGACACCATTTAACACAAATATGCACTACCCTTTACTATACCTAGGATAGGTAAAGTTAAATACCCGTTCTCAATACGCAGAGTTTTGATCCTAAAACATTGTACGTTGTTGTTGAAATAGTTGAGTAAGCACAAGAACTTTGCACGTGGAATGTATTGATTTCTAAATTAATTCACTTTAGTTAATAGCATGCATCTGATTGGTGGCTGTTGTGTAATCGCTTCCTTTTTTATTTAGTATTGAAGCAGTGAGTTGTAGTCTCGACGAAGATGGTGTAGAGCAACATATTATTTCAGTAAGATAAATAAAGAAATAAACTACACAAATATAGAAAACGAGCTCCTAGGTATGGCTATAGCATGTGCAAAACCAGATTTTAAACCGGATGTTAGTTTTGCTTTTATTTAAAGTGTATAAATGTATGAATGAAATTTCATTTAATTGCTTCCATAAATAAGAATGTTGGATCCTGCACAAAACCAAATTTGGAAAATGGCGCTACATTTGCTTTTACTCCAAGTGGCCATGTATGAAATTTCATTTACATCCCTCCATAAGTAAGAAAGTTTGCAATTCGGTTTATAAATGGTCGAGATGCACTGTGAATGTTGATCGATTAGGCTCAATTTTTGGAATTGCGTTTTATATGGCTAAAGCTATACGCATATTGAATTTCATGCAATTCGGTTCATAACTCACGGAGATGTCAAAAGGGCCTTCCTTATTTTTTGGGCTACATTGCCAATTCACAAACTCCGATCTACAAATTTGATAAATAAATCCATCTACTAAATTTTATCGTAATCGGTCCATTCGTTATCGAGATATCGTGCTAACGAACAGACGGACAGACACCGCAAAATTATAAACTCGCTAGGAGCTCGTTAATAAGTTACACAAATAGCAAAGTAGCGATACATCGGTGGACCATGACTTAGGGAAGAAATGATAAAATTTACAAAACGCAAGTACATTTTTATAGCTTTGTGTGTTGCATTCATATTTTTAACGCGTGTTCAAATCTATGTTTGAGCATACTGCCGCATTCACTATAATATCATAAGTACGAGGAGTCGTTTTTATATTCCCGAACTAGGCATGAAAAAACAAAGTTTTATTTTTCAATATAGTTCCCCTGCTTTTGAATACGGTGTAACACCGTTTCAATAACATCCTTAATCCAATACACAAATATTAATTTGGTGTTTCAGAAAAATGGCGCTCAACAGCTGCTATAAGTTCGCCATTGTCTCTAAATTTGGTCCTCTTATGGCCGTTTGCACCGACAATTTTAAGCGGAGCTTAGCTTAAGCGTAGCTTAAAATCCATGGCAACCATTGTCTCAATAATCGTTGCCATGGATTTTAAAGCTACGCTTAAGCTACTCCGCTTAAATTTGTCGGTGCTTTAGGGTTTTTTTTTTTAAATTTGGAAACAAAAAATAGTCACTGGGTGCTAGATCTGGACTATAAGGCGGATGTTCAATTTCTTCGAAACCAGCGTCAGCTACAGCAGCTTTTGAAAGTCTACACTTGCGCACTGAAAACAGTGCTTTCTGAAACTCATAATTGTTTCTTCTTTAGTTTTGAATCCTCTAACATTCTAACACTTCGTTTTTTCAATAATATCTAAAGTGATCACGTCAACAGGGTGTCCTAGACGGCGATCATCATACAATGATTCGCGTTCAAGTTTACACAATTTTTATCACTCGCAAATGCTTGATTTAGAAGGGTATACAGTCAACATTTCCTGCCGGATAACTTTTGGAGGTTTTTCTTGTTTTGTAAAGAACAGAACAGCTCGGTATTCGATTTTATTAATTTCGATACATACAGTGTGCCCCAGGTAGAACCCATCATAGGGAAACGGTAATGTATTTTCTCGCGAAAGATCCACGCAGTCTTTGAAATTAACGTTCAATGTACTGCTGTTCTCTTTCTAGCATCAGGCAAGCGCAACAAGCAACTTCAAATATACATATCAAAGGCCTCGTGAATCCGTCACGAAAAAATACATTAATTATGTTTGTCTATGCTGTGTTTAACCTGGGACACACGGTATACAACGCGCGACGACACAAACTGTCAGATAATAAAATTAATAATGTTGCGATTGTTTTGTAAATTGCCACACAAGTTACCCATACATAAAAAACAGGGTTTTCGGAGTCGAATAATTCCGGAAACGGCACCGGAAAATCCCTTCTTTTCAAATAGTAGGAGAGCTACTGGCACATTTTCTTAAAGAGTTTTATTATTGTTGATATTTGGATATAAGATGTGTATGCTAATAGCATATTATGCGAGAGTCTGGCAGCCATTTCGCGGATGACGCGGCGGTGGTGGGTGATCGAAGATTTTCAAAATTTAATCAGTTTTACTATTAATGAACCTTGCTTTATTTTATTTATATGAATGTACTGAAATGATAAGTAAGACTTTGAAAGACGCCATATAATTACATGTAATAAGGAATTATCGCGTTTGTAATAGCATATACGAAGACCAAATTTCAACAATAACAAAACTTTAAGAAAATATGCCACTAACTGTTAGACTGTAACACGTCTTGTTAAATGAAAAATCCGCAGCTTTCCATGAGGCCTGAGTGTTGAACGTTCAAACCCTTTGACCGACCGATGGACTAAGGTGTATTTTACTGAAACACGTTAAAAATAATCACAGTGGTTAAAGAAAATTATCCACATTTAGAAAGACAGAAACAAGTGCGTGTGCTTTATTTACTGAGAATTCAGAAAATCAGTTTGTATTTGAAAAGAAAGCTTTGGCATTAATTGTAGATAACTTAAATGGACTAGGTAGGTGCAAGTCGGTTCTATATTGTTATACACAATTTGAGAATAAATTTTGCTATATGGCTATACTTGTCTGGTATGGAAAGCATGTATACATTGGATTGGAACTCGCTACATAAATTATTCTTGACATAATTAAACCCAATCTTCTATAAATTCAAAGAGATATACCTAAATTGAGTAATAAACACGCACGTCTATGTATAGTTATTGCTTTATTGCATGGCTTCTCTACAATCTCACGTTTAATTACAAAGAGGGATTGATTTTATCGAATACCTACTCAATAATCTGTTTTTCTTCTTTTATCATAAGCATGCGAGAAAATAAATTGCTTTTAAGATCTTTAGAACTTGAGTATAACATCGTCACGTATATTTTGTATGTACCTAGCTGTATCCACGAGTACATGGACGTGTACTCTGAGGTGGTGCAGCCGGATCCAGCAGAGTTGATCAACTCCCCTTTTGGAGGACGTTACTGTGGACCCATTTCACCGAGACGTCGGATTTCGCTTTATCGCGCCATCGCCCTCAGTTTCTATTCGGATAAGAACAACTCGACGCCCGATCTCTTCACTGGCAGATATTCCTTTATTAACGATTGTAAGTAGGATTTGATGTTAATTAGTTTCCTAGATCTGTAGCGTATGCTGAAGTCGATATTATTACTAAACAGAGTAAAATTCAAATAGCCTACATACTGTTATTCTTAGTATATGATCTATTCATACAACGGCGGAATTAATTAATGCAAAAGACTATACTTCAACTAACAAAACAGCCCGATATAACGTTTCGTATAATTATGTACACGCCACGGGTTGAAGCACGAAATTTATCAAACCATATTCTGGTGGCATAAAGAAAATGCTGCACTATAATAATAATGTAGGTATAGATACATAATATAGTTTTTTCACTACTAGCGTCTGATGACATGATTATTAACCTTTTTTCCACTTGTAAAGTAGGCTTTCTCGGCATTTGTTCAAAGTGGTTAATAATTTTTTATTATTAACTAGTAGTCAAAAATGAGAACTGTCACGCTGTCACTTTTAGAAAACACAACCCGAAATTTCGCTCAATAAACGTTTAGACAAGTTCTCTAAAATGAATAATTGCCACCATTCGCAATTTCCAGAGAAATTACATACCTAAAATTATCACATTTTGAAAAAATTCGAACGAAATTACTCTTTGAAAAATCTCAATGACAGAACAAAATACGGCCTGTTTGACTTGTACTTCCACTACTTGATTGACGTGTTAAATTAAGAAACAAACAATTCTGTCCAACCGTTAACTCTCTTATCAATATAATATGTTAATTTAGAGGATTTCAAGTGCTAGTAGTGAAAAAAATAGTATATATACCACGGTAGAGAAGTCTATTATTGCCTTCGCACCTTTCACCCCTCGGCGCAAGCGCCTCGAGATGTAATCTTGGTGCTCAGGCAATAATAGTGGACTTCTCTACCTTGATATATAATGTACTATTATGTCTTACTAACCTATCATAGCACATTTTATATCTGTGATACGCGGGCATAAAGTACCACTTTATGCCCTAGGGCATTAAGTATCACCATAGTAACTCATTCATACTTAATGACTAAACTAACAAATACTTGCAGGTCATTGAAAATTAGAAACGTCAATTATTAATTGTCAATACTAAATCACAAGATTGGCCTTATTCCGTATAGTTTCTGGAACTTCTTGCTCATTCACGATGACGTGAATTATTTAAAATTACGTTTGACGTTTGGATGGTTTCAATGACATTAACAAATTCGAACCACGCATACTTAATCAAACACAATGAATTATTTTGTAAACGAATATTTACTTTGACGAAGAAAACTATTTGTAAAACATAAAATTTTGTATGTACCACGGGCATAAACTGATGTTTATACTCTCGGGCGACTAAAAAGCTCTCGGGCCATAGGTCCTCGAGCTTTTTAACTTGTCGCCCTCGAGAATATAAACATCACTATTATGCCCTTAATACATAAATAACTATTACATATAATCTTTCATACTTTCTTGGAAGAAGTACGTGGACGAGAATTGTTAGAGAATGATTTGGCGTAACAACAAATAGTAAAACCCAAGTTTTCGAACAGAAATGCTTTATTTTCAATATTTCCTGCTAGCTCAATATACATTGTCCAACGATATTCTAAATTCGCAATGTCTTTATTATAAGTCAATGAATCCAATTTCCCGAAATAGCAAATAGGAGGCACTCTTATAGGAGTTTAAAAATGCCTTTTATATACAGCACTAAGACTTTAAAAAAAGATTGCCGTTTGCGATTGATCACCATTTAATTAATTGTAGAAAAAAAAACAGCAATAATGAATAAAAAAAAAGATATTGGGAAACACAGCATTATAAAAATTATGTCAAAGGAATAAAGAAATGGTCTTCTCGCAACTTCATAGTTAATCCTACCTTTAATTTTTCTTAGTTCTGTTCATGCTGTTACACGGTAAACCATCGTTACATAAAGGACAATTATTAACCAAGTTCTTCACCACAACTGTGTCTTCCTTACAAAAATACCTCTCTCCCATGAATAACCTTTTTAACTCCTATTTTAAATGGGAAAGCATTCATTTAACTAAAATCAGTGGGGCAATCAGAAATTTGCTTTGAGAGGTGCTAGAATTAAAAGTTGTCTTTCTTTTTTCGAGGGGGGGTTGTTGAAAGACGTAGTACAAAACTCAACCTTTTATTTTGGCTTAATACAATGCATTAATAACAATCGTATTTTGTGATTTTGGGCGATTTCCAGGGTATTTAAGCGATACGTATATGAAGTAAACGTTGGTAACCCTGACGCTAAGACAACCGGAACATCGAAATCATTTCATTTGTTCACTTCTTGTCTATTTGTAAGCACTTATTCTCTTTAGAATTTTGGGGGGTGTTTTAGTATACTTCTCGTTGGGCCACTCTGTATGATAACGGTGATTTAAGTACAAATTAAAATATAAATAAATACATAAACGAATTTAAAAGAAAAAAAAAGTTTTTGGGTAATGTTTCCTAACAAAATACCATTTAAGTTTATTATTGTTTACTCCAATTCCATGTAGTTAAATACTGCAAGCAAGGTGAATAGATAACTAGTTTATTTATTCAAAGGTAGGTTTCCCTAATCTAGAAAATTTGCAATTAGTTTATCCTTTCCATGATCTGCATCAGCAAATCCTTCAAAGGAAATTATTGGGAACTTGTGTCGGACGAAAAACCAATTTTCTCAACAATGCCTTATAAATAAACATATTATAGCATCTCCAATTTATTTTACCCTGAAATTTCCCCACACGCTATTAAATTTTATTAGAGAAATTATGAAGGTGACGTCGACTACGGCGGTAATTAACAAATTCTACTTGAAATTTGAAAGCGGCTTACGCTACAAATTGATACAAAGTGTAACAATAATTCCATGAAATAACTCTGTGTTTTGTACACATTAAGTAGGTTTTAGAATTCAAATTAGAAGATTGAAGGCATTGTTTGATATTAGGTAGCTTAACTGAGGCAACGTCATGTAATAAACGGTTACGTGGAATACATCCAGGTTTCTGAATATGCGATTGTCCTAATACATCTTAAAGGATGAATAATTTAGACCACTTCAAAATGTAAGCTTGTTAGCGTTTACAGATGATGTTTGCCAAAAGTAATTGTATTGTTCCAAATACAATGCTACTATTTTCCCTTATTCCTACTTTGAAAATTTCATCAAACCCTGCGATTCCTTAAACATGCCATTTAAATGCAGTATCTACCCATTTAGTTTCATTGTTGTGTAATAAAACCTATTGTTTGTGTTGCACAATGCACACATTAAATTCAGCACACCAAATTAGGCTCGGCTCTTCTAGGTTTCGCAAGTTATACGATATCAAAAAATATTCTAATAGATAAAAACCGTTTCTACATTAAATTCAATTCAATGTAATAGAATTTTACATTGTAAAGATTATACGGCAATTTATTAGGCACCTACCCAAATGATAAGAAATTTAATACAACCCTTTTGTTTGCAGCTGAATACGAAGTGGGTGTACCGGTAGCGAACACTCCTTGTAGCTTTCTTATTAAAGGGGCAGTTAAACCAACAGGACTCATAATGTCGCCTACTTATCCGGGTGCCTATCCAAAGGATATTACATGTACATACCAATTCCTTGGTACGCCTGGACAACGGGTGCGATTGGAGTTTCGAGATTTTGACTTGTTTTTTGGTGGACCGCAGTAAGTATTTCTGTCACACTCTAAATAATTATAGAAATAAGTTTTGTAAAGATCAAAGTAACTTTAGTAACTTTAGAAAGCCCTTAGTACGATATAAAAGTAAAATAAAACATACTTTTTTCCTCTTACTTCTAGGGTACTTATATAAATAACACAGTTATAAAGTTCTAGACAAGATATGATGTACCTTTTTCTCAATTTAGGGTTTAGATTTCGTTTTTCTTTCGTATAAATGATCTCTCCAATAAAAAAATGTATAATTGAAAATTTTGAAAATAATGTTTGCGCGAGAGAAAGTTTCTCCTGTGCCGAAAATAATTAGCTTCAAAGCTCTCGAACGAGTAAAAACAATTTAAAAAGTGTAACATCAAATTAACCGGGACGAATGCTGCGCTACCTTTTTGATGCCAACGTCAATAAAATCATGCCCGATTTCTTTTGGGGGAGAGACTTTAAAAATTCATAGACCTGTCTTACGGTATTGATTGCCTTTTTTTTTCCAGCTGTCCCTTCGATTACGTAAAATTGTACGACGGTCCAGATAATACGTCTGCGGTTATAGGAACTTACTGTGGTCAACAACGTAACCTGGTGTTATACTCATCGGAAGCGTCGTTATTTATATCCTTTGTAACTCTATCACGCACTGCCAATACACAAAATAGAGGATTTAAAGGAATGTTTGAATTCTCAAACTCTTTTACAAAATTAGGTAAGTAATTTTTTAATTATTGTATCACAGAAAGGTTGGTTGAGCAAAGTCTTACTTTTAATAAACCTAAGATATGTGCTGTTTACTGTTACTGATATTGAAGTCTAAAGTGAAATAGTTATTTATATAAGAAGAGCGCGAACTTCAATTTCGCGCATTGAGACTGAAGGTATTTTGAAGAGGCTAGCGTTATACACAATATTTTTTCTGCACCTGAACCGATTGTTAATTAAATTTGCTGTTCAGGTTCAACTTTTTCACGTGTGCGAAATACTTTTTTTCACTGTTGATGGTTTCTCGCACATTGTCAAGAGCAACCTTACTTATTAATTAAGTGTTTAAAAATCTAGTAATTCGAGTTTCAAAATTCGTCAGAAAATGACAGGGTTTTTTGACACCTGTAGCTCAAAAACTAAGAGATTTAGGACATATGTTGATATAAACTTTTCTCCTTTAAATCTCTCGAGGATTCAACCCTGTATTATTGGCACTCAATTAATTAACACTCTGTATACGTAGTCTTGTACTTGGCATAACGTTATTAAGGCGCCAGGGGATCGCCAGAATTGTTCAACTTGCAAAGAGGTCACGTATTCAGAAAGGTTGAAAAACACTGATCTAAATAATGTTACTTAATTGTTAATTGTTAATGTTAATTAATGTTTACGATATCAGGGATCATTTGGATAAAAAAGTTGTTTTAGAGTAGTAACAAAACAGTTAATAAACAAAGAGAAGATTAAATTAAACTTTAAATCGAGCCGAACCAATTATGAACTTTAAACCTAAAGTAAACTTTGTCAGCAAACCGTTAATTTAATAAAATTAAAAATATTAACAATTTCGGAAGCAAACAAACAACATTCTTGCAAATTAAAATACAGCAGATAAAGCAAATCTTAAAAATCCAACATTTTAGACAAAAAAATCGGTTTAAAAAGCTTTCGGAAATATGAACATAAGAACAAATTGATAGTGATACAGAAAATTTAACGAACAATATTAAAAAATTTGCGACCATAGTATGCCGAAAATAACGTATAACACAAAGTTGAATAGATAGTGAAACGATACATTAACGACAACAAGAAAAAAGAAGAAATTTAGAAGAAATTACCAAAAATGAAACAGGATATTAAGATTCGAATACGATCCTTGGTAGGGGATTTTTTGACACCCATCTCACATTAAAAAAAAATTCAACAGCACTGATCTTTGAAAGAAATCGATTGGTTTGACATCACCTTCTCTTTGCTTGAATTTCTTTCGAAAAATCCCCCTAAAAATACGGAAGATAGAAAAGTCAAAATTAGTTTATAAAAAAGAAAGAAACGATTATGATAAACCAATAATTCAGGAAAAAGAAGAAAATTCAAGAGTTTTCATTACCAACCATGGAAATTAAGTACCGTGGGGTCAATTTACACTATTTCTAAAACTAACAAAAGGGAGACCATTCCGTGTACAGTGTGATACGTAAACAAAAAAATATGAACTTTTAACATTTTACCTCTCCCAAGTATTTACATATTCAAATTGCTCTGTTATATACACAAAAATATAAACAGTTTTGGGAAAGTGGGAGATACCCACACCTACAATACGAGGAGCAAGGAAAAAAATTCCACAAGGAAGCACACCACTCTTTTTATAATAAATCCCCCTATATGATGGGTTCAAAATTGTTTAACTTGTTGCCGTTAAAGTTCACCACCTGTAACAAACAAGCATTTAAAATTTAAATTAAAAATTTCTTTCAAGAAAACACATTTTATTCTGCCAAGGAATTCACAGAGTTCATGACGGCTAGATTCACTTAAGCAATCCACTTGCTAATTTACTTATTATGTGTTCACTCAATGTTGTTCGTACCTGCACGTAAAGTTTGTTATTTTTTCCCTCTTTGTATGACGTTTTAATGGCTGTGATGCACAGTTCCAAGAATAAAGATCTTTATTATTATTATTATGGTCGGTGTTTCTTGTGAGAACTCAGGTCTAGCCTGGTAAACTAATCGCACGGATTAAAATCAAGTAACGATTAGTGTCTGTGTCTGTGTCTGGTGAAGTTATGTAGGGTCCTTAAAAAAAAAAAAAAAAAATCACACACGTACATTGGACATCTAGGGATAATGTAATTCGTACTTACCAACATACCTATTGATGGGCACAATAGCCAACGCTATCAGGAAAGAGGAAAACAAAACAAACAAAAAATCATTATAATTATTATTATTATTATTATTATTGTTATTATGAACAAATACATGTATATCGACAGCAGAATGCCTAATTAGAAATTTGATATACCTATAGATGTCGACTTTATCGAAAAAATGGAAAAGAAAAAGTTTAGAAATGACAGTTCAAAATGATGAAGTAGATCCTGAAATAACTTTAAGGGGAATAAAAATAGTTTATATGATGTTATTTATGTTTAAATGTGAACGAGCATTGCGTTAAGGGTTTTTTTGCTTATCTCCATGCAGTAATTTTAGAGGCGTTTTCATGAAATTACAAAGTAAAAGATGAAATAAAAAATTTGGTATGTAGGTAAATTTTACAGTTTGCAAAAGGTTTCAAATTTACTACTCATGGCTGGGTGAAGGGAGCACCCATAACTCGGCATCCTAATTTGTTACATCGCCAAAATATTCTGCTCATTTTGTGATAGTTTGTGCGCTAATCCCCATATTGTGTGCGCTTTCCGTTTACGAAAGAATCAAAAGGTCAAACTTAACACTGGAACTCCATCATATTCGTATACACATGACACTAATACCATAGTTTTGTGTTCGTGTTCTGCCGATTTGTGCGCCTATACTTTCAGTGCGCCTACTTCGTGCCACTATGTTAATACTGATTGTGTTTTACCGTTGAGTGAAAATTACTCAATGGTTTTACTTAAATAATGTTGAGGGTGGGTACCAGTGCTTACTGGAGAATTTAGTATATAATTAATTGGTAAACAGTTTAAAAGACACGATGATTATCAAATTACGGAAAAGTTCCGCAATTAAACAGTTATTAACATACTGTGAAGAAAATCAAAAAATTCCGATGACTTTCGAAGATATGCCAGAAAAACCTTGCCGATTTTATTTTTATTTTTTCCTGATGTTTGAGCAGTTACAGAAAAGTAAAAAAAATCACTTTCTCATGGTCACTATTTGAACAAGAAAGCGTTCAGAGATTTTTAATTCAAAGTTCCATTTCTGACAAATCATCATCAACTTTATTTTTTAATACGGACCGTAAAAAAATTACATACCGTATTGAGTAGCATTTTTTTAATTACGAATACAACAATGTACGGCAAAAAAACCAAAGTTGAAAACTGTTGATCTCAACATGATGGTGCAGCCGCGCACAACGTTAACTTCAAATAGTATAAAACCTGGCATTTTTTTCAAAATGCATCGCTTTGCATGAAAATGAGGGATTAAGGTCAACTTACCCTCCACTTCAAAATCTATACTATGCCGATGGGCGCTCTTCATTTTTTATTGGTGAAAAGTACCCCTCATTACCAAAACTCATAAAACTATACATATTAAAGCTTAATGCAGGTAAAATTTGGTTTAGATGAGTTGAGTAATGATTGTTAAAGGTTTTGGAACATTATGTCAGAATATTTTAACCCTTAAAAATCAACCCTTATTGTCGTTTAATAAAAAAAAGTATTTACCCCCAAAAAGTTAATAATCTAGTATTGACGGCAGTTGTTCAGTGTGAATTTGGAACAAAGTATGGTGTTCAACCTCGTGATAGATGGTGATGCATCCAACGGTGATATGAACATTAAACAGTTCAAAAGAAGGAGTGTTTACATATTTGCGCAAAGAGAAAACTTGCGGGCAGCCGCCCACGTATAATCATATCGATATCTCTCGAGTGGAGTCATATTGAACATCTGTGAACGTATTCTTTAGTGAAAAAAAACTTACTCATTTTGATAAATAACCCATGGTTCTATTTTGTTTCTTTAATTAAAATTCAGATTTTAAAAGTAGTGATATTCTTTTTGATGGCCCTGTATATATAGATGGTGTATGGAATGGATGTAAGTGAGTATAAAAGTTTCTATGTGTAGGTAATATACGGAATGTATACCGCTCATGTAGATACTCATGCTCCGATTTGTGCTTTCAGAATTTCTCGAAAAAAATTCGTTTTTTATGATAGAAAGTGCATTAAAAAACCATTTTGTAGGTTTTTGCAAAAGCTACAAGGCCCTTTACATCAAACCCCTTAAAACTCTTAGTTTTAAAATGGGGTGAGCTTAAAGGGCTAAAACAAGGTAGTGCGCCCATATAAATACACGCTTTTTAAATGTCTATATCTCACTTAATTTTTGTCGTACAGAAAATTCTCGGTGAGGAAAATGTTTGGAATTAAAAATGCTACAATTGGATGCTGTAGCAATTTTTACGTATCTCCAGTTGTTTTGTAGTTATTTTGAAGCGAAGGACGTTTTTCACAAAATTGACCAGATTCGTTTTTCACTTTTAGCTTGGATTATTTCAAAATTCAGTCCTCTAAACTGGTCACACTTCTAGAATGTACTAATAATACGTAATTATGGAAAAGTGAAAAAAGGGAAAGACTAATTTTAATTGGGGTGGTAATTAAGGGGTTGCTTGCGCTGTTTTTTTCGCTGAAAAAAGTACATCTCCGTTATTTTCAACGTAACTCACTTAATTTTTATGCTAAAGTTTGTTTTTAAAAAAGAAAGGTTTTTTAAATACTTTAAAGAATATTTGACAAGTTTTTCTCGAAAAATGATTAGTTTTGCCGTTATTTAACTGTAAAACTTTCTAATTTAGCGTTTGACGAACAAGAGCTAACTTTTAACAAGCCACAACTCGAGTCGTATTGGTCTGCAAGTATTAAAAAAAAACAGTTTCTTTGTTTTTGTATAAGCGACCATTTTGTTGGTCACAGTTTTTTTATAAAATGCATACTTTTCGAGTTTTTCGCGAATAACCAATTAAAAACATTGATCTTTTCTATGAGAAACTTATACTTTTTCGGTCGCCAATGACTGGAGAAGTATTAACTTTCCGAAAAAATGTATGGAACACTTTTTGCTTAAAATTAATGTTTCTATCTATTCCTGTGTTAAAATTACAATAAAAAAATTACCACTCCCGAGATGGGGTGGCAACCACCCCCAGGTCGAAAGCGCCCTTTGGCATGATACCATACTTACTGTCAAAATTTCAAGTTAATCGATTCGAAAAAATGGCCATGTAACTAATTGGGACGCTGATTTAGGGGTGCTACCTTAATCTACCTCAATTGGTCATACAAAGAAAGTCGTAATGTTATTTTTTATTAAAAAAAACTTTAGGGAAGTTATAAATACTTTCTTTTTGCGCAGACCATTTGAAAAGGAAACTATATCGGGCTTTAAAAGACAAAAGCAGAAACTTAAATATTCTTTAATGGCAAAAACACCGTTAATATTTTTTGGCAATTGGGTTAAGTTTAGATCCCAAACCGATATTCATTTTCGTGCACGCAAGATCTGTGGCTTATCTTGAACAGTTTCTGTAGAACCCATTGCAAATTTCAGCAGACGTAAAAACACTGTCGATTGATGCTAATCATGATTGAATTTTATTTCGTTCATTTTATTGTTGTGTATTGTAGGTACCTACATATTTTGTCTAATCATTAGCAATTCTCATTATTAGATACCGCATATTTATGTACATTTTTCTTTTCACTCTTAATAAAAATTAAAACGAATCCTTTAAAACTGTAGATATCATTTATGCGATGGGGCGGTAAAACGTACATCCCTTGATATGTAACTCGGCATATTTTGTAGATTATACACAAGCCTTTATTGGTCTGAAATGAAAAACTGAACAAAAAACGGTGAAGCTGTGGGAACAAAAACGTAATATTCAAATGTGAGTATACGTTTACATTCGTAACGTTTCGCTTTATAAGATATCTCTACAGCTTTTATGAAATACTCTTTCGAAGTGGATTGGGTTGTAGGTAAATTGCAGAAAAGCAAGATTGTAGGTCACCTATTTATTTATTTTGTTTTATAGCATAAAACATAATCATTTTTATTTTCATCAATAATAATTTATCTTCTTCATTCCTGAAGTAAGGCGGTAAATTTTCGCAATGAAAGGTTTGCCTCGGTAAATTTGGTGATAAGCATTAAACATTGAAACAATCGGGGTCAAAAGATCTCATCCTCAGTAGGGATGGCGACGCTTCTGAAGTATTTGCTTCATTGCACATGCCTTTCCCTATGTAATTTAATTGCCCAAAGAAGACTCCACTCAGACGAATTTTCCACTCCTTCTTAATAAAGTGTGGTCTCCTGGTTGCTTCATCATTCGTTTAGGTACATTCACATTAATGTTTCGCACAAAAATAGAATAATGGAACCCCAAAACTCAATACAGATATTTCAAAGGCGGTTGCCTTAGGTTCCATAGATAGGGTGAGCTAATTCCAATAAACGACATTTAAACAGTTTACTGTTTACTTTTTAAATTCCTAATAGACAACGAGTATTACATGTGTGATAAAAGAATTAAAAAATGATAAACTAGAATACTACGAGAAACGGCGGCAGTGAAAAAACCTGCTACTATATTTTAATGAATTCAGTTTGAAAATAAATATTTATTTAATGATGACACTGTGTAACCACAATGCGTGGCAGTTAAAGAGAAAATGGTTAGATTTTAAATTGGCGTTACACTCTTTACAGTAACACAAGCACAACGATGTAGAATTCAAATCGACCAAGTTTTATATCGTATCTTAGGGATTGTGTATATGTATGTATAGTAAATTGCACTTGAAGGATCATTAAGCCGGTCAAACCATGGACGATGCTGCTTACAGATATAGATCACATCCTCTCCTCATTACTAAAATAAGAAACAGTTTTAAGGAGGAAAACTGATGGTGTATTCTTGTACTTAGTGATGTCGCTTAAAAATCGTTCTAGAGTGACAAGATCGCGCGGTTGTGTCACCTGTAACCGATTATCGTATCTATATTTTATGCGCAATTCCCTCAATTTGACGACCCAAAGTCATGGCGAAATCAGAATGGACTTCTTACATTTTTTACAGTTCAGAGATTTGCTCTGCTTTAGGTGCTATTTTAACTTATTTATTATACTATATACTTATAATCAGGTCATATCTTTCAAATCCCTTAAAATTATAGTGAAATCCTTACAAAATCCATCGGGATGAGTAGTGTATATAACTTACCTAAATGTTGTTCTTCTTTCAGATTTTATAAGTAAAAATGATGGAGAACACATAAGAGGATCCGAATGTGATCAAAAAATATTAAGTAAAAAGGAATCAAGTGGCTTTGTATTTAGTCCGAATTATCCGTTCCCGTACATGCCTAAGTTAGTATGTCGATATTTTATTTATGGTATGCAAGATGCTCAACACCTCGAAAGGGTTCGTCTAGAATTCGTACTTTTCGAAATTCCGAAGGGCCCTAAAGAAGAGTAAGTGCATTATAATATTTTCTATTATTTTTTTTCTAGTAACGTAACATAGAGACTGGGAAACCGCGCTTTTCTTTAAATTTATTTATTTTCATACAGATTTTCTACCTACGAGTTGGAGGAAAACATTTACTGGTATTGATTATCTCAGCAGGCCGCAGTTTCAGTCTAATCTATGCAATTCGGTAACGGTAGAATACATAAGTGGTTGGTTATGGGTTTCGCATTCAAATTCAAATATTGTGGAGGTGCCTGAAACCAAAAAGTCACATTAATGAATAAAATTTAATTTATTTAATAACGAGACTAGCCAAAAAGCACTAGATGACATGTATCTACCTCTTTAATAAGTTTAACGAATTCATTTATTAGCTCTTGATGGTGTTACGTGTTTTATTTTTTTAAAATACATAATCCGTAGGTGCTATAGTGATGGTATCTTTTTAGTTGTTCAGATGGTTACCTAAAAGTATATTTGAAAGGGCAAGAAACAACGGATTCGTACGACAAGTTTGATCACGAAATGTGCGGAGACGAAACTAAACCTCAGGTAGTTGTATCGGATGGACCTCGCCTTGTAATGGTTTTTAGTAGTGGTGAACTAATGGGCAGAGGGTTTAAAGCAAATTATACATTCGAAACAGGTGCATTCATACCCACCCTTTTGTGGCGTTTACTTATTAGCCAATGTTTCAGAATACCGTATCCCAGGCACCCCTGCCCCGGACGGTAGTTGTACATTCACATACCGTAGTTCGAGCAAGAAAAAAGGAGAATTTAATTCGCCCCGTTATCCTTCAAACTATCCCAGCGACACTAACTGTACATATTTATTTCTCAGCACCCCCAATGAACAAGTTTCAATCGTATTTGATAACTTCAAAGTACGTGCGGATGCGGCGAACGGTACATTTGGCTCCTATGGGTATGTCTCATTCAATATTCTATTACCATAATGCTTATTGGTTACCTTGTAGAGTTAACGTATGCGAGGAAGATTGGCTAGAAATTTACAATACTTACCGCGACGGCACTGAAAAGGCAATTGGGCGATATTGTGGCATGACAGCACCGGGTCCAATTGAATCAAATCGCGGCGCAATCGGCCTAAAGATTGTGCTACACGCAAACTCTGAAGGTGTATATAGCGGTTTTAAGGCAAGATACACGTTTGAAACCGCCAAATCCATTTTTGGGGATTGCGGTGGAAACATGAGTAGTTTAGAGTACGGCGTAATTTCTAGTCCAAATTTTCCAAGCAATTACGATGGGCCTAGTAGAGGACAAGCATCCAAAATATGTAATTGGTACGTTACGGTGAAACCGAAATGTAAAATATTGATCAATTTTGAACGGTTTGCCGTCGAAGGAGATCCTGAAAGTGAGTTACTTACACAGTGTGTTTGGTACGTTTTGAAAAATGTTTGCTTACAGGTCGAGGCTGCCCCGCGGCTGTTTTAAGGCTTTGGTTGAACTTATCGGAGACTCCTAAGGAGATGTGCGGAGAAAAAAGGCCCGCTAGCAAGTGGGAGTATTTGTCGCATTCAAACGCCATTAGACTAAGGTAAGGTAGCCTTATAGATGACGGAAGATGTGTCATGCAAATTTTTCGCAGTTTTATAACTGCCGATAAAGCCGTGGGTTCCCAGGGGTTTAGAGCGGTGTGGACTGAAGTGGAAGAGACTGATGATTGCACGGAGTTTCAATGCGCCAAAAGCGGCCATTGCATACCAAAGAAGCTCAAATGCAACCTCGTAAACAACTGTGGGGCTGACGACGATTCTGACGAAGCCGACTGTGAGTGACATAATGGTTACTATTTGAATAATACCTTAATAATGAGATCAAAATTAAAAATTGCTTAAACACAAATTTTATTTGTTAGGTACATTTTGCTTCTGCACGAGTTGTTTCTCTTTAAACAATGATTTCTAAAATTTTTAAATCACTTAAATTATTCATATTTGCGTCCTAAATATATTGGATGCTGGTTTCTGTTTGCACATTGAACACATCGTTTTATAGCGCTGAGTTGGATTATGAAACGATGTGTTCTTTTTGTGTAAGGAACAAGTGGTGGCAGGTGTTGTGTATGTTCAGGTGGGTCACGTGCGCCCTTTGTGATAGCAACTCCTCTCCAGCTCCTGCCACCACTGTGCTTGGTGGCACTACTGCTGGCGTGATGTCCTCCAGAATAGCATGCTTCTCTTTACATTCACGTGAGTCCTATTTCTTATCTTTTTTACGTTCATAATTTTCTGTGACAATGCATTTACTGTATAGTTATTTAAGATAAGTAAAAGGGTTTAGAATAGACCTAAAACATTGTTGCACTGCTTCATGCATGTAAACGTTTGCGGTTTGTAATTAGGTAATTTACATTTACAGCTTTCAATTCTTTACTGCCAACGAATAAACTGTCTACAGTTTCATATTGTTATCATCTTATTGTATCTTTGTTATTTGCATTTAATATACATTAAAATTACACATTTTCGTTACTTGTGCATTGCAGCCGCGGTTTCTAATCGTCTCTTCTTATACGTTCACATATATCATGCTCTTTCACATTTTTCTGCTTGCTTTCCATTGAGCAGAACTTACGACGGATGGAATCTTTTATTTGTTATTTTAGTTTTTACTGCTTTAGATTTCTCAGGTCAATATAATAACTTTTTGAAAGTTGGTGAATTATTTTCCAGAATACTTTCACCATTCAATGTAGATCCTTCAATCATTTTCTTGCTTTGATATTATATTCATTGGCCCATTTACTTTGTTTGGGTTGAACTAGGCAAGTAGGAATCCGAATAACCATACAATATTAAATCGTAAAAATAACTCCCTTTCTATAACTTTAGTTCATATTAAAATAGACACACGCACACCCATTACACTCGCGAACCGTCCTCGATGTCTGCGTCTCCGTTCCGCTCACTGTCTTACGCTTCCGTATTCACTTAAAAAAACTCTTCTTAACAACCCGGTCGTGCTTTTGGACGGCCAATGCCTAGGACACATTTACTTATTTTTAGCTACCGTTAATAGTCATTCCCTCAGATAAATTAAATTATACTTGCTTGGGACGTACTAGAGTTGCATACTCTGTTCTTCTACTTCTTGTCGAATCCAGTGGCGTAACTTCATTTTAAAGGCCCGTCCTCAAAAATATTTGGGGGCCCTTTCCCTTACGCTTAATATAACCGCTTGGATTTCTAATGAAAACCACCTTAAAAATATATAAATGAAAGTTCACTAGAAATACACTCCAGCAGATTCGGATTCTTTAATAAAGATATCACCCTCATATCGATCATCCGACGTTGCTTAACTCTGAACTTATTTCTTCGCTGTTCAACGTTCGTTTTTTGCTTTTCTCTTGGAGGTTCCACTATGGTATTTTCGTCCATTCTGAGATGTCTGCTTTCAAAATTTCAAACGATAAGTACAGGTGCCGTATCTACAGACACCGCTGGAGATACATTTAAACTCATTTAGTTATTAAGTTTGATTAGCGATTTCTATTCTTTGTGTATGAATCCGCCTTTTTTGAATGACGGTAACTGTTTCGTCCATGCAGAGGTAAATGCTAGAGTGTTAAAAGTACTTAGTCGCATTCATCTCGAAATACAAATTCAGTTTAAGGTTACCGTATTCAGGACCTTCAGATATCTTCTGGACTGCAGAAGGTCCCGCTAATTAACAAAGTGTTTCATGAAGGTACTTTATGTAAGAGACTTCGGAATTTTATGTTTCACAAATGGGAAACGGGTGGAGTTGCTCTTAAATCTCTTTGAGCTGGCTACTTTTGAGCATATCAAATTTCGTATTAAAGTAAGGTCAGGTTTAAATGATATGATATGATGATTTAAATTCAATAGTTACTTCCTCGGATTGTTAATTTTGTATGTTGTAGATATTGGTCCGGATTTTTCACATATAGGTACCTATTTACCGCCTGTGAACAATGGTATCTGTTCCTTTAGTAACGCAAACTATGTAAATAATTAACACAAACGTAACATTGAAGGAGTTCGGGAAATTTTCAATTTTTTTCAGTATTTTTATATAAAAATTACATTTTTTGTACATTTTTGCCGGGGCCCCTTTTAAGTCGGGGCCCGTCCTCATTGCGTACCTTTGAGACATTGTAGTTACGCTACTGGTCGAATCATGAGAACCTTCATATCAATGTGTTTAGTTCGGTCGCTCGTCCAGTGATTTTCAACCATCTGTACTGCTACTAAATTGTACATGTTCATGGTCTACTGGCCCTCGCGTTCCCGTTATTTGGCTCTAAGTGAATCGAACTTCCTTTATGCATTCACCGAGGGCTACAAACTCAGCTTCTGCTATAACCTGTGCAACACATCTTTGCTTACGGCTTGATCAAGTTACTACTCCATTGGACCTGATTATTATAGCATAACCGCTATACGACTTTTTATCTGGATCGCTGCCCTAATCTGCATCCGTGTAAATGTTTACTTGCTGTGTACCTACTTTCTGTGTCACAGTGTTATTCATTGTACCTTTTAAGTGTTTGGTTACACATCGAAAAGAAGGAGGACCCTACATCAAGTTATCGTCCACTCCCGAACATGCGGTTTCGGTGGGAAACGCTGGAACATCCACCGTACATATTTTGATATTTCTTTTTTTAATATTTCCTATCCTTATCCTCGTTCTTCACATACACTTTACATGTGGATTTGGATTAGACATAGTCTTCATCGTTTTGCATTCGTCCACTTTGATCTATAGTCCAGGCTAAATAGCTCTAAAATAATTTATTTTCAAAAAAATTAGTTACCGGGCGAAACCGGGGTTTTCAGGCAGGTGAAATGAATAGAAATTGGGAAAAAATAAGACGAAAATTTTGCTACTCCACGCACCTCTGTACGATGAAAAAAAAATAGATTTTTCATCCCCTTGAAAAATATGTCTTTTTTTCAGAAATCGTGAGATCTTAGAAACGGTTCAACTTTACAGGCCCAAAAAATTATCTTCTTTTTTATCATAAAACAAGCTATCTTTCCTCCAAATTTCAAACCCCTACGACATTTTTTCGCAAAAATAAGAATAAAAATCGAAAAAAACTAGTTTTCCGGTTTTTCTAGGAAAATTGGAGGTTATGTGAAAATAGTGTAGATAGATAGTCGCTCATTTTTTTAATCTCTATAACTTTTGCAATTAACATTTTCGTCTAAAATTAATAGTTTTGCCACAATTTGCAAAACACCACTTTCCACACCCTTTTCAACCCCCGTGATTTCACCCGCGGAAAAATTCAGATGTTTTAATTATTTTTTCCCAATTTCTATTCATTTCACCTGCCTGAAAAACCCGGTTTCATCCGGTAACTAATTTTTTTTGTCAAAAAATATTATATAGCCTGGACTACTATCCTTATTGAATTTTTACTTCGCCTTAAATTTATGGATAATACTCGTTTTGCCGCGCCTAATTCCTTTACCTTAAAATTCTTTTTTAATTTTTTTAATTTGAAGATTTTGATTTCTTCCTTCTCGCCATGAGATCGTCGATGCATGTGGTTATTATTATGTTCCTCTTGTCTTTGTATGTAATACACTCCGGGATCTGAGATACATCGTCCTAGACCTTCACCTATCATAAAACTATTCAGTTTCATTCCACAATTTTCCAGATTCATTAAGTCCATACAATCTTTTCTTTAACTGTAGCACGCATCGGTGACGTAGATGATCGTCTTCATGTCCTTGTTGGATATCTATAAACATGTCCTTCTTTAATTCAGCGTTTAAGGAAGCTCCGTCGATGTCGATGTCCACGTGCCCTACTTCCCATTTATTCATCATGCTTAGTGCCAACAAAACGGGCATGGTTTTTCTCATTACCATTGAGAACGTTTCTCCGTAGTCTACTTCGTGATTATCTAGCGCCACAAATCTAGATTTATAACTAGTTATTGCTCCTTCTTCGCTAAATTTCCTTTTGAAAATACATATCGTTTTTTAAAATCGAATTTTTGGCTGCGTCGATTATTTGTAGAGGTACCTTTTATTGTTAAATTTCTGAATTCGGCGTTGATTGCCCCGACCCACTTCTCGTTCTCAGGACCGCTCATAGTCAGTTTGTATGATGTTTGTTTCGTCGCCATTGATTATAATCTAGTGATACTGCGTTGATACTGTAATCCTGCAACCAATTTGGTTTCTTTATTTTTCGTCCACTTGTAGATTCGGCTTGACGTCATTCTCGTAAATTTCCGATGATGAGTCGTCGTCTCCGTTAGTAATTTCTTGGTGGCTGTCGACTTCGCTCGTCGTTAATAGGAATCTTCGTCAAACTCTTCGCCGTGTTTTTCGTTTTCGTGCTCATTTCGTAATGTATCGACATTTACGTCTCGGCTTATTGTCGTCTTTCGTTGATAGTTCCAGATCCTGTACGCTTTGGTCTATGGCTCGTAACCAAAAAATATTCCCTTTTCCTCTTAAGGTTTGTAAGGTTTCATGTGCTTTATTCCGGTATTTCTGTTAGTCCAAATTCCATAAGGCGTTTTTCCATTATCGCTTGTCGTTCTCCGATTACGGATGCAGTAAGGTTTCCCCCATAGACCGTTATCTGCTCCGGACTCTTCCATGAAGCATCGGTATATTGAGCAAATTTTGATTCAACTTTCAGGTGAGCCGTTTTGTTGCGTTGTGCACGGCGTTGTAACTTCTCGTTGAATACCTTCTTCTACTAAATATTTTTCAAAATTGCGATTGAAACATTCTCTTCCGTTGTCACTTTCTTAATGCTGTTATTCGTTTGTCGTGTAATTTCTCCACTTGGCGTTTATACTCGATAGACTTGCTTAATGCATTGCTTTTGTGCTTCATGCCACACCCATACATAAATCAGGCGACAAATCTAATATTCGTAACTATCGCCCAATTTCAATCTTAAATATACAAAATTCAAAAAATCTTTGAAAACATTATAGTTGATAAAATCGCCCCTTCATTTAGCAATATTATAACTTATTTACTACTTATTTAAATTAGTTAACGATGATATAGATTGCCCATACTTATTGTCAAACATATGATTAAACTTTCCATCCAGAATTTTACGTAATATACAATTAATTCACGTGCCCTTCCACAGAACAATGTACGGACAATACTCTCCTCTAGTAACAATGTGCAATTCCGCAAATGTACTATGTACTAATATTAACTGTTTTGGTACTACGTTTATCGAATTCAGAAGGAAGCTGATGTTATACAACGGTTAACAGTATAATTTGTGTTTGTATTCTTTTTTACGTAGGTGTTTATCTGAGGGTTATTAGAATCAATGAAATTTATCGCTCTTTTATCAATTAAAATTTACTTGGTTTTTATTTGAAATATTTTTTTTCTCCAACCACCTGAATAAGACGCTATTTTGTGACAGTGTTCGGTACCTAAAATTGACGTTTTGCGGATTAATCGCTTTCACAATGGCAACTGTACAAAAAGTGGATACTTTTGGTCCTAGTACCAAAAAGAAATTGACCTTGAAAGTTGGCCAATTAAAAAATTACAATCACAGAGATATGTCACATTGACATCGTTTTATATTGCAGGTTGTAAGATATTTCTATACATACAAATCAAATATTTTTGCAGATTCAATGCAAATAATGATGTTACCTATACGAATGTACTTGTACATACATGTATTGAAAATGATTTACGCTCGCTATTTTTATTTAAACCATGTGTAACGTAATTTACATATTCCGTGAACGTAATTTTAATACGTAGACAACCCGCCGTCGCGCGTAACGCCATCTACTTCAGACCCATTGCACTATTATCTGTCATTTTGAATTCAAAATTTGAAAAAGTTAATTGCAATTAATTTTAATTAAAAAACTGTATGGTAAGTTTTTTATTTCAAAACAAAATATAACAATATTAATTGTGTATACAATAAAATGACTGAAACTGATAGCGCAATGGATTGCACTCCGCCAGAGATTATAGAAACGGCAGAACATGCTACCTCAAGATTTGCTCCCTATAAAGTCGCGAGAGGTGCGAGAAGTAAGATGTAAAAACGAATAGGTTATAAGTTAACCTAAAAACTAGAGTGGCATGACACGTGAGGACAAGAAAGCAGAAGTTCTTATACTATAGTAGTGAAACTGTAACTGAATCTAAATTCGAATATAATTTGAAGTAAAGGGGGTTGGAGAAAAAATTTTATGTTTTATTCGTACAAAAAATGCGTTTTCGGGACTCGGAAGGTTGCTGCAGCAACTATCTTCCTCGTCCCGAAAACTGACATTTATTGTACTAATGAAACAAATAACTATTGTTAAGCTTTTCAGTAATTTTGATTTATAGTCACACTTTGTTTTGTTATTACATTTTGCTATATGATATTATGTTTTGTATTTTTTTTTGTAAAAATGATATTTCCGTTAAACAAATAAATAAATAAATAAATAAATAAATTATGTATACTCCGGAATAACGGATAAAATCACCGTGTATAAATATGAACAGCTATTACGTAATGTATTACGTCGACTGTTCGTTGTCTTCAGAAAATTTTTTCTTTTTATGTTGCAGGTTCCACAAGCTTTACCGGTAACTGGAGCCGATTTTATTTCATACAATGTCGCTAATCGGTTTGCTTCGTTTGGGGCGCGGTATTTTTTGTGCCAAATGTCACTTGTAATTTCTTTCATAGTATACAGACATTTTGTTTTCGTACATGGTGTATATCTTTTGTGCCAAATGTCACTTGTAATTTCTTTCATAGGATACAGACACATTTTGTTTTCGTACATGGTGTATATCTTTCGCGTTGCCATTCCGATAATTTCTTTTGTTGTTTATAAAGTAGCTACTAACTACTATTAATATTAACAACACAATAAAGCTCCAGCTTACAATATCAAATCGTGACAATAAGAATAACTATTATCTATATATTTAGTTCATAGTAAAGTAAACACGCACACCCATTCTAGCACCCATTACACTCGCGAAGCACCCTCGTTCTCCTTGTTTGCCTCTCCGCTCCGCCGCTTATTGTCTTACGCGTGCACGAATCACTTATTCAGTTGATAAAAAACTCCTCTTAACACACTTTGTTAATATCTTTCTCTGAAGTTTTTTCAACACAACCTATGTTAGGTTTCATGATCTATAATCAGATTTTGGAAGATTTGTTTCTGAACGAAAAATGTTCCTTGTGGTAGGTATCTTGTTCTAGGCGCTATTGTAAAATTTTCTATCAAAATTTGAGACTTTTTTGGTTGTCTTTAAAAAAATCATCCATTTCTTGCTTTACCATTGCTATGTTCATCTTTGTTTGTGTCTACAGGGTCCAGGACTGAATGTAGTTACGTTTGCAATCTCATTTTCTAATGTACACTATTGATCCTTTATTATTCCTTGAAAGTTCTTACTTAGCATTCTTCATGGTTACTACAAGCATTCGCGAGATCTCTTTCACAGTTCAAAGTTGTCGATGGATCTTGTACTATCTCTTCAATAGCTCTATCCGACTGATATTCTTTGTCACTGTAAGTATTTGTCCCTACATTTTTATTGCGTTCGTCTAACTAATATCTCTTCATTCCACCGCCCTTCTAGTATGAGATTTACATTTTCTTCGTAAGAAACATGACTATCGTAAAGATTAGTAGAATTTCTAGATTTTCTTTACCTAATTTATATCAAGGTTTTCTAAAAAGGAAAAATTGAAGTGTCTTTTATTGCGTCCTTCCCAGTGCCTCCAGCAGATTGTGCAAAACCCTATATCTTTTCAGCATGGTACGACACAGCGTCGGGATCTGATGTCCATAATCCACATCGTTTTGAATATAATGGTTGTACAATTTAGTGTACATGAAAAGACGTTTAGCAGGAAAAATACCCAGATTAGATCCTTTTCACGTTTTTACTGCTCCGATTTCAATTCAACAGACTAAATGACCAATTAAAACCAAGAAACAGGGGTATATGTTAGAGACAACAACACTTCTCACGCATTGTTCTCCCTTCTTTTTTCAAAATTGAAACGTTAATTTACGCATTTTTCAGACTTATACTACTAGGCCAAGGGTGCTCAACCTTTTTAACGGGCGGGGCGCGCCCGTCGGGCCAAAAAGGACGATTCGGACCTTTTCGGCGGGTCACTGACGATGATCCTTGATGACGGAAGTAACTACTTCTTTCTTTCTCACAATCCTTCGTTCCTTTGTTTTTGCCGCGATCTACCTTTAAAAAAATGCGCGAGCTCGCAATACCGCTTATAAAACGACATACCAATACTTATAATTAACATTTATTTACTGCGAAGAAATAGGCTTCAAATGTGATTATTAGTCAATTTCAAAGACGCAGCGATGGTTTTAATGCGATACTTCCTTTCAAATGGACAAATACGCTTTAAACAATTGTGAGCCAAGTGAGCGTGCCGAGCTCGCCTTCGGCTGCCGAGCGTTGCACATGATGACAACAGGATATAGAAGCGTACTCTACATTCAGCGGTGTTAGGATGATTATACACTCGTCCAAAACAATACTGAGTGCCTAACGAGCAATATGAAGTCACTTCAAAAATACAATCTCAATACCTTTTATTTAAGAACCAAGGGTGTTTTTTAGAACAACAATCAGGAATACAAAAATAGCTTAAATTCCTTGCTACATTTGCTAACAACAGTTTCCACGCGTTAAGTAAGTAATTGAAAGTTGTATTTTATAAACAATTTCGTTTGCAATATGAGATAAGTGTGTTTAGGAATAATCCTTACAAGAGTAAGCTTATGGTTTTAAATTATAGGTGGATCAGAAGCACCAAAAGAAGATCATACAATAGTGACTGCCTGTTCGATAGGCATAATCGTGGCGCTACTTTTAATACTGTGCGTGTTGTGCCATCGAAAACGGCGACGACGTCAAAGGCCACATCAACGACCGTTTCCGTTACCAGTTCCTGGCGGTTCAGCACGAAGGCCACCTCAACACGTGTGCGAAGAGTTAGGAGAACGTTTCGCTAGTGTTGACAGTGTTTGATGGTGGCTTCCTTTCGGTTGTTATCGTTACTGCCGTCGTCAGCAATATTATACACTAACAGGGTCGAAAATTACTTGAAACCGTATTTATATTAAAGTAAATGTTGGCTTATTTTCATTGTCTTTAAGAAGCTATTGACAACGCTAATAATAAAAGATATTTCTACTCTCGGCATCAACTTCCTTAGGACATTTACTAGATTTAATACGACAATCGAGAAACGCTTTCAATTAGACGATTACACTAAAGTGTACAAACAGGGTAATTTCATTTTTGTGCAGTTTTGGTACGCGGCTGGAGCTTATTTTTTAAAGACTAGTGAAACGTTACACTCAAATCTTAGCAACAGATTTGTCATTTACCTAGCAATAGATACGCCACCAATGGATTTTCAGTTTCATGTGGATTAAGAAGCGGAGAGTAGAGAAATAATGGTTGATTGGACAATCATGAACAATGTATTGCTGGCGGCTGGCATAGATCCGTCTTCAGCAAAACATGTGCAGTCAATAAATACATCGGTATTTCTAAACAATTTTTAAAAAAATGTTCACGATTCCTGGTTTAATATAACAATAATAATAAAATGATTTAGAATACGATATTGATATTAATAATAATTACTGCGTGTTGTAGTGCGAGGTATACGTAAGACGTTATTGTATTTCCGTGAAACAATACTTACGCGTGATGTTAGATGCACTTATTGAACCTAGAAATGTTCCTAGGTCAATTGACCTTTTAAAAGTATAATTAAAAAACGTTGGGCAGAAGATTTTTGTACGTCGTTTAATTGTAACACCTCTTAGAAATCACAACTTCATTTATACGTTTTCAATAAATAGGTAGATTTTGCACATTCGCACAAACGTATTGAACGGAAGTATTTAAAATATAGAGAGGTTTTACATGAACCGGCGTTAAAACCTATATTATTAATATTTTACACGTGCTGGTGCTCCAAATTTTATTTTTACAACGAATATGATTTCTCTGGCACACAAAAATGAAAAACTAGTGTAGTGAACTGCCAATGGAGATTAAACTGTGCATCTCTATAATTCTGTGTGCAATTTTCGTAGCCGTCGTTATAAAACAAATTGAAATAAACTCTGTATCTTATACTGTTTGTTCTTATATTGTTATTAAAACAGTGACTGATGAGTGCGATTTAAGAGCATCAAGGGAATACGTACGAATATTTTAAACATATAGTTATTATTAAAATATGCTCAGTTAAATTGATTCTTGACTTCTTGAATTAGTGTAGGCAGTGTTATTTTAAATTACCTACCTATTACAATCAAAGTTGACAATGAACCATGGCGCTACTCTAAGTAATTAACGTGTAGATCATTACATTTATCTTCATACATTTTCTCTTCTAAACTCGAAAGAGACGTGCATATTGGTCTTGACTTGACATGTACTTCCCAAAACTTTCTATTTTTTAACATAGATAATATAGTTAAAATTGCAATGGTCGATTCGGTTCGATCTCGCAATACTAAATGCCCTTCCGAAAATTAAATTATCGTATTGCAGAGCCAATACGCGAAGAAACCTTTATTTAAAATGCGTTTGCACCTGTTTTGTATAGTAGATATTCTATATAGATGATGTTAAATTTCTGATCGGGCTTCCTGTAGAGTCTTAAATAGCGTGTAATAATTGAGAAAATCAAGTGCATGCTGCTGCACAAATATTTTATGAATTGCAAAGCACTGTGAGTCATTGATAATTTAACTGAGTATAATATTATAGCGTGTCTACTAGAAAATTGTTTCAATTTTGAACAGTAAAGACAATTCAAACATATTTTCAATGTAGTTTACTAGTTAATAAAATTTCTATGGTTTTTACTGGCACTGCAGAAAACGTTGTATGTAATCAATTAGGTAATATAAATTATAGTCGTGAGGCTGATATAAACTGATGGTGTAAAATAATCTATGTAAAACTAACCTAAACGTGTTTGAAATAATGCAATGGCTGAAACACAATTGATTATTTGTTTGGTAGTAACACATAAAATGGCACTAACGTTTTGTAAACATATATTAGTTTTTGGAGAAGCACTAACACCAATTCATCGATTTATGTGTAACATTGTCTTCCTCAAATCAGTCATTGTATTTTTTTCAATATAAAAATTATTCGATATTTTAGAGATAGTTAAAAAGATATCCTAATAATTGCAACGTTATCAGTTTGCCTTCTTTTAGCACTGCATTATTGAACAGACTGTGAGTACCGTAAATATCTCAAGATTACGTTTTTAGATATCAGCACTATTAATATACACGAAAATTAATGCTTGCATTACTAAAGACTAATATGTATTGTCTTAAATATAAGTTATTGAATCATACATTTCATTTTTAATTACAGACTGTTCAATAAATTACAAATATTATATAGATAGAATTTTTAAGTCTAGTAGATTTTGTTGGATGCAGTAGCAAATGCACAAGGTATCGTATGAACGGGCCTCGGCCATTGTTATTTAGGATGTAATATTATTTTTAAAGGTATCTATTCGCGATAGATATATTGTATGTATGTATTCATACATAAAGCAATTGTGCAGTAGTGACGGTGTTCGTGTTAGATACATATAGTCAATCACTATCATCACAAAGTATTCACCTATCGACTGATAGAAAAGTTTCATAGGTTTACAATATCTTTTTAATTATATTTCAGTGAAAGTCTCTCAAAACGGGTATATTAAATATTGTGTAACGTAGACACCTTATCAACGAATCATCCATATAAAGATCCACTCGCATTTGGATCACCCATGCAACTTCATTTTTTTTTAATTTTTACCTCATTACTTTATCATAACATCACACTATTTTTTTGAGTACTTATAATAATGACGCAACAAAGTTTTCTATTAGTAGATATACTGAGCACCGCGCGGCTTCCATATTAATGATAAAACACACACGTGCAACTGCACACTTTGTTAACGATTCTAGAAAAAGCTCAAAAACCAAAAATGGAGCACAGTACCAAAAGTATGCGTTTATACGGCATTTTAACGAGACAATTTGTTCACTTTTAGCGTGAATAGAAAATATCCGTACCTAATTTAATACGTATAACGTACTTTTGGTCAAAAATATTTAGTAAGTTAATAACTATTATTTTCAGGTCAACGAGGAATTTGTTGATTTGTATAAAACTTTAACCTCGAGTTCTGAAAGTAATCTTTATTACAAGGTTACGTAATTGTACCTATTTAAGAAAAAAATTCTCATCTCATCAATATGTTATTTGTTAACTTAAAGCTGTTAAGTACTGTTAAGATTGGTCGCAAATTGTAATATATTGTATCAAGATGCTCACAGCGACTAGCAACGATAAATAAAAGTGTAATCTACTGTATAGTGATTTTTTCTTTCGTAGCATTTCGGCGCTGAAAGTAGGTAAAGGAAGAGTTGTAGTAGTAGACAATATTATAACTTACCCGTTGTGAAGATTGTCACTAAGCTTTACTGTTGCGCTTAACTTTCAGGGGTTCAAACACCTCCGAATTTAAATTTTCGTAATATATGGCAATTTTGTTAAAGCTAAATTTCAGTCAGCCTACTAATACTATCATTTTCTCGCAGTTTTCAGAATGTCATTGCAAAATTAGGGGAACGGAGGGTAATTGCGCCCACCTAAGGAAAAAAATTAATTTTTCTGATAATATAACCATGTTCCAAATAATTCCGATGCGTATGGGTAGTTAATCAATGCTAAAAATTTAGAATTTGGACTAGCAACCATGGGATCTGTGAAATGGATTACAAACATTCTCGTAAAATCCGACACTATCGAGCAATACCGCACAGATATGGGGTAATGGCACATAGCAAGACAAGTAAGTAATAAATAGGAAATTATCTGAAAAATAAAAACCAATTATTTTATTTCTATACTGCGTAAAGCCGAACAGTGTGTTCGGTATTACCCGATATGGAGCTTATAGGAATAAATGAGCAAAAATCTTAGAAACCCACATATTTTTTAACAATACCTGCATATGATCGTTGAGTGACAAATTAGTTATTCAATGATATGATGTAAGCTAACTGTATACCATGAATAAATAACACTAATTTAAAGAATTTTTCCATAATCATTTAGGTACATATACCTTATTGTGACATATAAGGTAAAATTCTACGAAAGCGCAGAGGGTCCACATTAAATATAGTCACCGTATTAAGAAGTAACGACCGAGGGGTGTTTGATCTGCTATAGTTCGTTCACCCAACAGAAATAGTTAAGCCACTCCTACAAAATTTGGGCCAATGTAAGCAGCAACCAGTTTTACAACCACAAAATTATAAAAAGCGGAAAATTTGAAAAATCAAATTGAAATGTCACTTGTTCAAGACTAATTATGGCGCTATCTCTCTGAACAAAACTCGTGGCAAAAATAGTAAAACCTGCAAACTGTTAAATACATGTAAATATGCAACATAAAAACACTGTTTATATTGAGAAAAGTACAAAAAAGTATTATTACATCAGCACAAAGTTTTGAAATTACAAGTGCACTTGAATATAAACAAAGGTACATAACAATTTAAATCCTGTATCGCTTCACTCGGATTCGGACTCCGTTGATGTCGAGTCATCTCCCACATGAATTACTAATGGCTCCACTACGATGTCCATTAAAATGTCAATTTGCCACATTTTTTCCTCTTCACTTTGAGCATGGCGAATTGCGTTCTTCCAATTTTCAGCAGTAACATGTTCCACTGCTTGTTGAAATAGTGGATGAAGGTCTTTCATTTTAAATGTGGTGTTGTTTCTGGCCACTTCACCTTTTATTTGCGCCCATATCAGTTCAATTGGATTCAATTCGCAGTGATATGGAGGCAATCGCAGCACGGTACGATTGTGTTCCTTTGCAATTTCATCAACTACATATTTTGGTGTAACAGCTGCCCGTTTCACAAGCTGTAGAAGTTCAGCTCTTACCATATCTTGAATGAAGTTCGTGTACCTCTGTATACTCCCGAAGAATCTTGTAGACACTCGGAATGCTTACACCTAAATTACACAATAATAAGTAAAAATGAATGTGCCTAAGATGAAAATTACCTGCTGCTTTAGCCGTAAACTCAACTTTATCCGTTTTAAATACCTCCGGGTTGTCTTCCGAATATGCCTTGAAGATATTTTAAATGCCAGTTTTGTCTTCAACTGAAAAGTGCTTGGCAGAACGTCTTTTCGGTGGAGAGAAAGCAGCACCGGCGACATTCATGTTTGCGTACAACTTTTCTTGATCGCGAATAATATAACCCTAAAAACAGGCATGTAAAAATCGTGTATAAAATTTTATAATTACTCACCTGACTATCTTTAGAATACACCGACGAGTCTTTATAAAGACTATTTTGTGTGAATAAAGGAGATTAATGGCAAATTGACGCAAGTAAAGATGTAAAAACGTAAAAACCGGCAAAAACGCAATAGGCAAGATGACAGATTACCCAATTCGGCCAATTCGCTTTACAAGTGTGATTGTGGCTTCAAAAATTACACCAATAACAATGTCGTATTCAAATGTGGCGATAATTGTTGAGGAGGGGCTTAACTATTTCTGTTGGGTGAACGAACTATAGTGGATTTTATTCATAAAATCAAACTAAATATTTGACCGTATATAAATTCATATAAAATTCTGTTTTCCGCTGTCTTATCCTCTGTGCCACCCTTTTCCTCGTTGACGTTAACCATGGTCGTGTACAGTATTGTGATTGAAAAGCCTTGATAGACCTCTGGGCGAGAAGCGAGTGTCCTTGTTTCTTCCCATAGTATATTACCAAATGGGCTTAGATCCCCGAAAAAAGCCTTATAAAAAAAAAATTTGTTTTTGATTGTCTTGGCGAATTTCATCTTGCGAGTCGAAATTTCGTTTTGCAATTTGACATTTCGTGTTGCAAGTCGAAATGTCGTGTTAGAACGGTAACTGTCGATAATTCTGGCGCATGTATTTAGCTTGCTGGAATTGGTATTTGAAGTTATCCAGTGTAAAACACACCGTGATTCAGGATTCCTTCAGGATCATGAAATACCATTTTAAAATTCATCAAGCTACACTACATTAAGAAGTTATCCCTGTTTAACTACTATTTATAACCAAGAGAGGGAATTTGCCCAATTTCCATAAGTTAAGTCAACCGAGGCCACCCTTCAATTTGTTATCAAATTTCTAAATTTTTATGACACAAGGACATACTCGAGGTATCGCTTCCATAATTATGCGTTTCAGTCGAGAATAAGAATCAAAGTTTTAGCTTGCACAAGACACATAAAGGAAAATGGAGAAGATAAGCGAAACCGTACATTTGCATATAAATCGATCAACTCAAATACAATTGGATGATAATTTAAAGAGAAAGAGCGAGGTTTAGATTAACTTAAATTGGGTCCGGACTCTTCACCATCACGGGTTTAATATTTTCGAAACACTCACTTTTTGCGAACTTTCAGAGAAATACACTTTCCTAAAATTATTTATTTATTTATTATAGGAAAATACGCTCTTGGCTTGATTACCCCCAACCCAAACACTCGCTCATCAGCCGGGTGGCTAGAAAAATTCATGTTCAGGACAACTCAATCTAGAAGTAGAAGTCCTTAAGAAAACTTGTCCTTGGATTAAAACCAAATTCCAGACTCCTTCATATTTGTGACCATATTGTCACGAACCGGCTCGACACCATCAGGTGAATTCACCTCCGAAGGTCATCCTACGACTACGAATGGTAAAAGGTTTAAAAAGAAAAGTTCGTCTCGAACACGAAGTTCCATAAGGGCGATCACTATGATGTGCTTGAAGTGAAACACCGGGCGGAGGAGATAAGAGAACCTTTAATTTTAAATCAAATCATGATAAAGAAAATGCTTACTTGGAAGTTTAACTATTACCGAAGTTATAAAATAATGTCAAGAGTGGGAATGCAGTAAATTATTGCTTATTATAACTACCTGTATTTTTTTTACAACGAGCATTCTTTGTAAGATACGAGTAGAGTAGAAATGGTACTTCAAAGTAGCTCGGGATTTAGGTGTTACGGCTGCGAAGAACCCTGCACATTTCAACAGGATATAAAGGATTACAATTAGTTAGAGTCGTTAAAGGTGTATTATTACCAAAATTATTATTCTAGTGCATTCTACTGGTAGAAACATTTGGCCACTTCTACTATTTGATGCATATATGCTTCATATACTAATAGTGTAATTAGTATATTGTACCTATTACGAGCACCACAAGTAAAAGGTTAAAGATCGTCGAAATTACCGATCAGTACTTCCATAAGATACTCTTTGATATTGGCAAAGAGTAGTAAGTACTCTTTGATATTGGTATGTAATATCGTAACTACATTTAAAATCAATTACCTAGTAATAATTAATATTGAGCTGCAATACAATGGAAATATTTTGTTAAAAGGTTTGGATGTACAACATATAAAGAAAAGAATAGGTAGGTATATATACACTATCTCATACATTAATCGTATATAACGACGATCGTTAGCTTTTAGACCTTAAAATGCTGAGGGAATCAAGATACTAACATCTGCATTATAGTTCATATAAATTTCCAGCTATTTTAACTCTATGCGTTGACGACATGTTTAAAAATCTGAAAAGATGTGTAATAACATACTTTATCAAACCTTTTGCAGCTCACACAACAATTCACGGGGTTCCTTTGGTGGTTACTCCACGGTTGCATCCATTGGAAAGGTAAGTGTCTGTCAATCTCGCAGTGAAAACACATCTCTCATCGGTAGATTATTTTGGATAACAACGATCTTACTTTCGGCAACGGGTGCGGCTTCCTTAATAGTATCAAATTGGCAAAGATACAATGCCAATCCAACCGTCGTTAGTATACAGAAAGACTTCCGAAACTGGAATAATTTGCTGCCCTCTGCAACGGGATGCTTCAAAACGAAGTACTCTCAGGAGTTGATGGATAATTATATCGAGCAGTAGTTATATGGTCTTTCTCATCTGTATATTAAAACATTTTGTTTAAGGGCTTGGGGAATCATGGTGAATGACACGAAGTACGAGTATTATGCGAAATTTGTTAAAACTGTTGCAAATGTTTCTTACCACAGTCTTGACGCATTTGCGAAGTTCGCATCGGACAAGAATTTAAATAAAGTTAACTTGCTCGAGTTAGCTGCAAAGGTATTACCCATAAAGTTTAGGAAAGTAATTAATTGCAGTGAGTTAAACTAGGTTCATCCCAAGTTAACAGGGACGCTAGTCACGTATGATCCGAAGCGCAAAACGGATTGGAAGCTAATTATGGCGGAGCAAGGAATATGTTTCACAGTCAATAATAAGTTTGCCAACGTGTTGACATTTAAGTATGCCAGAGTGTATGCGTTTTCAGCTTTTGTTTAAACATGCTTTTAGTGTAGAAGGTGTTAAAGTTATTGACGACGATGCCGACGAGACATTGCTGACCTGTCACTATTTAAACGGTCTATGTTACGCTCGATACGACTCAGATCCTCAGTCGCACATAAGCGTAAGATACCTACTTAATACTTTTTTGAGCATAACTAGAAAAGCAACTATTGATGTTAACACAGTAGTCGTGATTTCTATTTTTTCAATTGGGATTTACTCGTTTAGGGTAGGGAAAGAATACCTACCTAGGTACTACCGAGACACTGTATGTCGTAAGAGGCGATGAATCAACAGACACTTAGAAAAGTAGGAAAGGTTCAGGGTTAATTTAGATTTGTATTCCGTTAGGTTGTTCGTAAGCATGTTTGTTATGTCGATTAGAAATATTTCTTCTTACTCGATGGATTGGGGACTTTTGCAAAACTTTCTCCTTTGGCACTTTATTTCTGTGTTGGGAGAATGTATCCCGCAATCACCCTCGTTGTTAGTGTACATCCCCTTTCCTTCTCACCATTGTCAGTTCGAACGGGTGCTATTAAAATAATCGGCGGATGTCTGTCGGTGCGGCGCTGGTTAGGGTAAATACTACACTTTTACATTTTGCAAATGGGTTGTTTCCTGCCATCGTAGGTAAAAGATGTGGTGGAGATGAACTCAATATATTATGTATGTCGAGTTTTGTTCGTCCTTACGATGACCCCTTTCTGCTCAGAACCACTTAGTTAATATTATGTTTTATTCATGAATACTATTGTAGATTTGGTGGTGATCTCAATATTATTCATATCATTCTTAGTTTTTCAATTTATGTTTAAATTTTATGGAATTGTTTGGAATGCTTAGAAGATTACCTTTCTTTCGTCCTAGTTTCAATTTTCGTTCAAATTTATTGCAGATATCCATGCCCGAACCCGGCTTCGAACCAAAGGACTCTTAGTACCGCAGTCCAGCTGCAATGGAATTGTACGTGTGTCGTCGAGTGTTCGGGTGATTTTGTAACATCGCCGTATGCAAAGGTTGTGTTTGTGTGTTGTTGTCAATCGTGTCTGCAGTTTATTTACAGTAAATGGACTAGCAGGGTACTTTAGGGCTCTGCGGCTAGAGGCGCAAAGGGTTGTAGTTGTATCCGAATCGCCTTTTGGATATCTTGAAATACCGCAAGGGTGCAACCTATGTGCTTGAAAAGGAGTGTGGGCGAAAGAAGGTTATATTTGACATTTACTCAGAGATTTTTGGTGACTATTTGATCAAAATATTTACTGATGCAACTGAGAAATGACATGGTAGTGCATAAGACGGCACGTTTACGGGAATGTCTTTTGGTTCAGGGTTCATGGATATACAGAAGGGTTTTCAGGGGTTGTTGAATGCAACCGGTAATAAATATATCAGCTATGCGGGTGATTGCAACCGGAGAGAGGCGTCTCAGTACTAGTCCTGGAGCCGAGTTTTGTCCATGTTTAAGGGTGGTAACGGGGTGCGATTCCGTTTAAAACGAGTTCGTCAGGTACAGGATGTCCGGTTCTTGAAAGTAATCCGACAGCTGATCAACCAATTGCTTAAGTTTGAGATCAAAATGAGGTAGGTTTGGAGATCGTGTTCCCTTGTAGGTACCTAACGAATAAGTTAGGCTTGTCTTTGCTCGAAGAAACAAAGTTGCTTCCGTGGTAAATGAGGTGGGAAAGGGGAATGCATTTCTGTCCCATTACAGTGTTGAACGCGAGTCAAAACCCGCCTGCATCTCTGTAATCCAGAAGGGAAATGGCCCTTGCCCAGTTATCTTCTGTTGATCTACATTTTTAATTTGTTGTTACTAGCCGTCGCGAATTTGGACAGTCTTCTCCGAATTGCCGGGTGCCACCCTGCATTAAAAGCGTTGTTTAGATCCAATGTAATTACAGCACTGTACAGTTTATGTTGTTTATTACTCCCAAAGGTGCTTCTTAAATTTTGAGTTGCTTATACGGTGGACCTCTCTGCACTAAAACCGTAATGGTTATATTCTAAGAGCCCGCGACGCAAACCATTACCATTCAAATAGCAGCATAAAACGGATACATGAACAAGTATTGGAGGTGACCATACACGAAACGCTCGGTCTGCCGGACCGCATTTAGCCGGAAGGTAAACAAATTCAATTGTTTATAAGGATGATAATTGCGAATTCTTTACTTTTGAGCTAGCAAGTTTCTGAGATCATGACATTGTAGCTGAGGCTTTCCGCTACAAATAAATTTCTACGGTCACTCTGATCCAAGCATTTTAGTTCTGTACCAAAGAGTAAATAACCATAAACCTCTACAACGGATTTAAAAAAGCGAATGAGCTCCTCAGTTTGACCCTACGGGGTCACTGAACATTTAGTCTGCTGCTGGAATCCCACAGTTAGCTCAAAATATAAGAGAATCATTCAATTCAAAAACAAAACCGTACAAGCTCTGAAGCTCATCAATGAGATTGCAAAAGCAGGTCAGCTGAAGTAATGAAACAATTGTAAAGTGAAGAAAAGTATTAATTTCATATTTAAGTAATTTAAGTAATGATTTCTGACATGATGAAATTGGCTGGTATACCTCACAATGGGGTAGCTCGATCAGGAATGGTAAAACAAGAAATCTCCCCACGCATCCAAAATTTAATGACAATTAACCAAACCAAATTAACCAAAGGTTAGACGTTTCTTCCTGTTAAGCTGTGGTCCGCGTTGGGGCCTCCCTTTTAATTTTATTTAAATTATGTTATAAAAAAGGATTGTTTGTGGTCCTTCAGACACAACAACCTGAAAAATGTTTGAAATTTAAATGTGTCGTCTTGAAATTTAATCTTTTTTTTCCTCTTGCTATCACTCATGTAATGATAAATTTTATGTAACACTTGATAATGGAGCGAGTTGCGTTTCGAAACATGTCGTGTTTTTCATCAGTACTACCTGTCAACTTTAATTGTCATTAAATTTTGGATGCGTCAAGAGATTTCGTGTTTTACCATTCCAGTAATGATTTGTTATGAAATATACCCCTTGCCGCCAGTCTGACAAGGCTATCCGGCCGCGCGAGGGGTGACAGACCTTAACAGGATTGTAGCGGAAAGCCTCAGCTACAATGTCATGATCTCAGAAACTTGCTAGCTCAAAAGTAAAGCATTCGCAAATATCATCCTTATAAACAATTGTTGTTTACCTTCCGGCTAAATGCGGTCCGACAGACCGAGCGTTTCGTGTATGGTCACCTCCAAACTTGCTCATGTAAGTATACGTTTTATGCTGCTATTTGAATGGTAATGGTTTGCGTCGCGGGCTCTTAGACTATTAGGGGACAAGTTTTGAAATTACTTTCCTTTTTTGAACGTGTTTATTTATTTATTATCCCTCTCTTGTTCTGGGCCCTCAACAGCTTTGGCCCAATTACAGAGATTGCAATGGTAAATCTTGCTTGATGGTTATTAAGTTAAAAATGTTGGTATTTGTCTATTTGAATGCAGCCTTAGTGTTAAAAAGAATGTCTCGTGCGTTTATTGACCATTGTATATGATCTTATGGTCGCTTAGCGACTCCTTTTCCAGGATACGCCATTCCTTTTCTCCTTACACGTCTATACTGGCGGTTATGTCGACCCAGAATTTCCCATTAAGCTGGATCTTCACATGAATACGAAATCCGACGATACGGTCATCCGAAATGCTTATGATTGGTCAATAGCTTGAAATGTGCTTCCGTATCGTCGGATTTCGTATTCATGTGAATCCAGCTTTAGCCGTTTCGAAGGTCAGATTTGAGTATTGGTCATTCCATATTACTGCGCCTACTACGTTTTGTAGGTCGAAGAGGTTATCGCTTCATTGGTTGCACAAGTCGTCTCCCCAGTCAGGGTGTTTTGCATTTAGGTCACCAAATATTACCACTTGGCCCTCGTGTTTTGTCAATATCGTCATTAAGAGGTTCATCTCTTGGGTACAGATTTGCATTGACTCGATATATAAAGATTTCTGAGTATTACTCCGCCCTCTTGGTTTTTGACTTCCACTAGCGTTCAGTTTTTGTTGCTATATTGTGTGAAGGTCATGTATTTAATGTCTTCTTTTATGAGAATAGGTGCTTGTGAATTGTCTACTCCCAGCACTGCGTTGTTGTGCTGAGGGGTGAGAGGGAAGGTTGAGAGGTACCTCGGCGTAGGCTGTTTTTAAGTCGATCTGCTATTAATAGTTGACCTTATTTATGGGGCAGCATGCATCCATAGCAGTATGAGGAGTATCTTTGGCCTCCAGTCGCTGACAAGGTACAGTTCTTCAGTCTTCAGCACATCGTGGGCATTTATCCTCTTTCTCGGGGCAGTTTGCCGTTACGTGCCCGAAGTTATTGCTGCTGTGGCAACGCCTGACATGGATGTGCTCCTCTACTGATGAGATCAAGGTTTACGCACCCGCTTCTCTATATTGCCTTCAATTCGTTCGGGCTTGATGTACATCGAGATTAGCTGAATGTTTTCATATTGGAGGGGAGGCGATGTACATAAGAGACAGACGAAATGTGGCAAGTGAAGTGTAAAGCTGTTTTTGGATTTGTGTGGTGTGTGGAATGTTTCCATTGATCGTGTTTGTGTCGTATGTTATGTAGTGGCTCGTGGTGAACATGTTGGGGATTGCTGTATTTGAGTGGTTCATCGGAGTGGTATTTTTGCTCTTGAGGAGAAAGAGGTTCAGGAGCACGATGGTGGAATCTCGAGCCATTCACTAGTATGCTACAGGGACAAAAGTGGTGTGCGATGGGATGTCTTGAGGGAGCGTGAAGATGCGTAGGCAGACGGGATTCAAGGCGATCATGTTTTACTATGGAACCTCTTACTTTAAGAAGTGGGTATCAAGAGTTTTAAACTAGCGGCGAAGGTGCAGCGCACTGCAGCGGTGAAACGGGTTACTGAAATTCTATGGGATTAGTTGTATGAAAAAAATCATATTGAAAAGGAACTATTCTATGCAGTTTTGGGAGCATACCTTTTAATGAAGTCGTCCAATATTAACAAATCTCCTTGGATTGTACTCCTATAGAACCAGATCTAAAAGGTCTCCCAATAAAAATTTGTACTCCCTATAAAGCCCGGCAAAATAAGTGTTTTGACAAAAATTTATCTGCCTATTTAGGAGAAGTAAAAAGATTTTTTTCCTGAAATCGTCATGAAACCTTCATTTTCTTCATGCACTCGTAAATTAAAAATTAAAGGGATCTTGTACTTCAATACGTTCTCGCCAGATAATGTGTCCTTTTTCTCACTTTTATCCAGAGCTTGCTCGAGCGTTCTAAAAAACCCCTCGAGCGACGAGCGGTCGAATTGTTTCAAAAATGCTCGCGAGTATAGAGAGTGATCGAGCGGTTTATTGCGAGCGCTCGGGAAAAGCGCTCGGGAGCGGATTAAACGCTCGCGAGCGGCGCTTAATCCTTCAGCGCTTGAGGGCGTTTAAAAGCGCTTGCGAGCGAAAAGAATGCTCGGGAGCGGAAAAAGAACTCGCGAGCGAAAAAAAACGCTCATGAGCGGAAAAACTGCTCGCGGGCAGAAAAAGCGCTCAAGCACCGAGCACTTTAAGTAAACGTTCGAGTTTCCAGCACCAAGCGGCCGCTCCGAAAAGTGCTTGCGATCAGCGCTTTTTCCGCTTGGAGCGCTTTTACGAGCGAATCGCTCGCGAGCAGTACCCAGCTCTGCTTTTATATGTAAATAACTATTGCCACTTTAACTCTGTGCTAGGGGCGGCAATCCCTCACAAATGCTCAAATAGGGCGAAAAGTTGTAAGTTGTAAGGGGGCTTCATTACTTACACAACCGATCATATTTTTGTATCGATTAATTAGTTAATGGGAATTCGTATTTTGACAGTTTCAAAGTTTAAACATGATTCATGTGAAATAATTTCAATTCCAGTTTTTTATACACTCCTACATAGAAATTGCCGATGCGATTGACAGCCGTTCATATACGCTAGGAGAAAGCGAGGAACTAGAGGTAAACTACTTCATGGAGGAGACTAGTTCCTCGCCAACCTTACGAAAACTAACACCTTCGCAAAGAAAATGTCGATTTGATGATGAACCTATAACAGATGATTTGCAAGTGTATAGTCCAACGATGTGCTATTTAACTTGTAGATATCATATCGTATTCCAATTTTGCGGTTGCCGGCCTTTTTTCTATCATTTTTTGGGTAAATATGTTTCTATCAACAACGACTTGACCATAACAAATATAAACAGGTGGAAAAATTTGCAACATTACCGAAATGTTGTGCATTGCTAAACACGTTAAGGAGATAGCAAAACCATCTTCAGATTTAAACTGCGAGTGTCCTCAACCATGCCACAACGTCGCCTACCTACCTTTACCCATAAAGAAAGCAACTTGGTAAGTAAGTAGTATATCATATTTAATCTACAGAACACTAAAACCCTGCGTCAGGACGAGCGGATATTTTGATCAAAGGCTAACGTTTAGGTGGGGTCTTCTTCATCCAACCACAAAGTATAGACGAGATGTCCTGTTTAGCTTTGAAGATCTTGTAGGTAAGTCGAAGATCTTGAATTGAGGTCTCATCTTTTAGTCCTGCATTTCAGTTTCACTTGGAGGTTCTTTGTCACTTTTCCTGGGAATTAGCTTCATAAGCCTAATTGAAATTGTATACTTTTTGCTAAATTTTTTTTGCCATTACGTCACAAGTTATTCGCAAAAGGCTCCCAAGAATAAACAAAACAATAAAGAAAACATTGTAAGAGTCGTACCGGTCGGATATAAAAAATAAGAAGTTATCAACTTTCACAAAATGAAACATTGCACGTATTGTCAAAACAGCACCAGCACCAACACCCAGTCACATTTGTTATTACGCGGGTGTCAAGTTTTTGAAAGAAATATATATTTGATCTAGTCATATTTGTGCTTTATTCATTATCCAGTTTGGGCGTTGGGGTAGGTACATCTCCCATAGGACGTCGCCTCTTCCGAACTCTAATGTGTTGACCCGTCCGGTTCTGCTAAAACACTCGGGCAATCGTTTGCGTAACCGTTACGGAAGTACACGTGTTGAGATCACCCGGCGATGAAGGTAGCTACATTCTCGTCTAGGAGCGTATCCAGATCTTCTGGCAAGAGGTTCATCGCGGGTGGGTGGTACGCCTACACGAGCCGAGACCAGACAACACAGTGATTTTTCTTGACGATAACGCGGAAAACCGACCAAGGAAACGGTAGAGTTGCTTAATTTGGAGCAACTACCGCATGCGGTTTACTCAGCAGACCTGGTCCCTTCTGATTATCACTTATTTGCATCGGTGGGCCATCTACTGACCCAGTAGTGCTCACAGAAAGTGGAAGCCCGATAGGCAAAAAATGAGCTTCCACAAATTGCGTGAGAAACTTGTGCCGTTTTCACACAATAAACACCTAATTTTGAAAAAATTCGGTTTCATATTTGCAGACCTTCTTGAACGCAAAGGACATACTCTAACTTCATTTATTGGTGGGAGACATAACTTACTTACCTCTTATATCTCATATATCTAGTCTGAGGGATTACTTACGTTCGAGATGTATGTTATTTCAAAATACAACACATCGAGTGCAGGAGTAACTTTTGTTTTTGTGATTCGTTACTTTGCATTTTCAACATTCGAAATTGTTGCCATTATCACAAGCAAGAAGTCGACGCGATTAAGTTCAAAAGGTATCTCACCAATATATTAATTGATATCTTTATTAGGAGACTTAATATTGCATACTTATCAATTTACTTAGGTACATCTCTTTACAAACATAGTTTTTTATTTCTATGTACAGGAATAAAAAAAGAAGGATATACAAATTACAAAAGGTCACAGAGAATTTATCTCCAAGATAGGCACCTATCGAACTCAGCCCTTGTTAGATTATTATTTACAGTTATACACAACATTAAATTCTCAATTGACTAAATCTGATAGGCTTCACATAGTAAACATTAACTTTAGAAAAATGAAAAGTTTGATTGACAGCAAGTTAAACTTTACTACACCAAGATACAATCTTCTCCGTTGTTATGAAGTACGCCTGCTCATTAAACAACACCAAGCTCTGGGAATACCACAATTTTTATCACTATCATCAATACTAGTCCTCTTAACTACAGGTACCGGAAGGGTTTTCTCTAATTCGACGTCTTCTCGTTTTTCCGTAACGATCTCGTCGAAATTTGGCGAAGAATTCTTGATTGGGTGACGATTAGTTTGAATAACAGGTTCATGTTCTGGTTTAAGACAAGTCCTATCGCTGGTATTCTTGTTTATTTCCACGACCACCTTTTCCTCATCTCAAGTCTCTCCGATTCCAGGTTTTATCTCTTCTGGTGTAGATTTCTCTTGCGTTTCAGCACGAGGCGATTCTAACTCTTTTGTCCAAGTCGGGTCAAATTCAGAGCAAGTGTGCATTAGAGTGAAAGGCAATTTCAGTGACAGTTCACCACCCATTAAGCTCACAATTAATTTCACCTTCACGTAGTATGTTACGTAAATGGCGAATACGTTGCGATCTTGTGGGTTATCGCAAGCGCTAGTTACTGTTGACGCTAAACTTGTTCCTGTTTTTGTGTATGAGTCTTCGAGTGCAATCCAGTTTTTCGTAGAGCTCTTTGTTGGTATCAAGTTGTACGTTTGGGTTACTGTAGAACCGCTTGCTACGGGACAATTGTCTTTTACCGTCGTCGACGCCACAACGTTTTTAAATTTCCCGTTAGAAAACATACACACGTCGACGTGTTGAACGACAAAAACCTGAAAGTGCAGTAATTTGCATTATTAGTAGAATTTGAATGGTAACAAAATTTGCGAAAAGTTTCAAAAATTTTTTAAAAAAACATATGGATCGCAACGACAATGAATTAGAAGTGCGGACACAATTTTGCATTGCACTGAGATTACTTAAAACTTACCTTTATTCGTTTGACAGTTTTACTGCTAAGATTTCGTACTTGTAAAGTGATTTCTATTTCTTCACCGTGTGAGTAAATAGCTTTGTCTAAACTCGCTTCTAATTCAATTCTTCCATCGCTCAGTAAAAATGGTTTCTCGACGACCGCGTGTGGTGGAGGCACTTGGGCGAGAAAGGCTGCTAAACTTGGTCGCTTCCCTCCGCACGGGGGCTCAAACTTTTCAATTTGATTTTTCTGTAATGTTAAATTGTGCCATTAGAATATGAAAATGCCTACAAAGAAAAACACAAACTTAAAGTAGCCAAATCACAAACATCCAGGGGGTAATAAGTGTTTTCCCGCGAAATTTTGGTGCAGTCGATTTTCGCTAAAAAAAAGGAGGTTATACACTGCCTTTTTTTGAGGCCCGAAAAAAAAATTGTCTAAGTCTAAGTCTAAGTTCCTAGATTGGGCTACTAGTTCAAAAGTTACAGCCCTTTGAATTTTCTTTCGAAATTGGTTTCTAGTCTATAACTTTTTATTGAGAAGTCTGATCGAAAAAGTACCAATTGTTTGGGATTCTACGCACCAAAATTAATAAGAAAAAGTGTTTACCCGAGAAATTTTGGTGCAGTTGACTTTTGCTAAAAAAGGAAGATTATACACTGCCTTTTTTTGAGGCCCGAAAAAAAAATTGTCTCAGATCGACCCGGAAAAAAAATTTTCTTATAGAATGTGGCCTGTAGAATCCATAATTTCAAACAGTTCCAAGATTGGGCTACTAATTCAAAAGTTACAGCCCTTTGAATTTTCTTTCGAAATTGGTTTCTAGTCTATAACTTTTGATTGAGAAGTCTGATCGAAAAAGTACGAATTGTTTTGGATTCTACGCACCAAAAATAATAAGAAAAAGTGTTTTCCCGAGAAATTTTGGTGTAGTCGATTTTTGGTAAAAAAGGAAGGTTATACACTGCCTTTTTTTGAGCCCCGAGAAAAAAATTGTCTCAGATCGACCCGGAAAAAAAATTTTCTTATAGAATGTGGCCTGTAGAATCCATAATTTCAAACAGTTCCAAGATTGGGCTACTAGTTTAAAAGTTACAGCCCTTTAAATTTTCTTTCGAAATTTGGTTTCTAGTCTATAACTGTTTATTGAGAAGTCTGATCGAAAAAGTACGAATTGTTTTGGATTCTACGCACCAAAATTAATAAGAGAAAGTGTCTTCCCCAGAAATTTTGGTGCAGTCGATTTTTTCTAAAAAAGGAAGGTTATACACTTCCTTTTTTTGAGGCCCGAAAAAAAAATTGTCTCAGATCGACCCGGAAAAAAAATTTTCTTATAGAATGTGGCCTGTAGAATCCATAATTTCAAACAGTTGCAAGATTGGGCTACTAGTTCAAAAGTTACAGCCCTTTGAATTTTCTTTCGAAATTGGTTTCTAGTCTATAACTTTTTATTGAGGAGTCTGATCGAAAAAGTACGAATTGTTTTGGATTCTACGCACCAAAATTAATAAGAAAAAGTGTTTTCCCGAGAAATTTTGGTGCAGTCGATTTTTGCTAAAAAAGGAAGATTATAACACTGCCTTTTTTTGAGGACCGAGAAAAAAATTGTCTCAGATCGACCCGGAAAAAAATTTTCTTACAGAATGTGGCCTGTAGAATCCATAATTTCAAACAGTTCCAAGATTGGGCTACTAATTCAAAAGTTACAGCCCTTTGAATTGTTTTTCGAAATTGGTTTCTAGTCTATAACTTTTGATTGAGAAGTCTGATCGAAAAAGTACAAATTGATTTGGATTCTACGCACCCAAATTAATAAGAAAAAGTGTTTCCCCGAGAAATTTTGGTGTAGTCGATTTTTGGTAAAAAAGGAAGGTTATACACTGCCTTTTTTTGAGCCCCGAAAAAAAATTGTCTCAGATCGACCCGGAAAAAAAAATTTTCTTATAGAATGTGGCCTGTAGAATCCATAATTTCAAACAGTTCCAAGATTGGGCTACTAGTTCAAAAGTTACAGCCCTTTGATTTTTCTTTCGAAATTGGTTTCTAGTCTATAACTTTTGATTGAGAAGTCTGATCGAAAAAGTACGAATTGTTTTTGATTCTACGCACCAAAATTAATAAGAAAAAGTGTTTTCCCGAGAAATTTTGGTGCAGTCGATTTTTGGTAAAAAAGGAAGGTTATACACTGCCCTTTTTTGAGGACCGAGAAAAAAATTGTCTCAGATCTACCCGGAAAAAAATTTTCTTACAGAATGTGGCCTGTAGAATTCATAATTTCAAACAGTTCCAAGATTGGGCTACTAGTTCAAAAGTTACAGCCCTTTGAATTTTCTTTCGCAATTGGTTTCTATTCCATAAGTTTTGATTGAAGAGTCTAATCGAAATGGTACGAATTGTTTTGGATTCTACGCACCAAAATTAATAAGGAAAAGTGTTTTCCCGTGAAATTCTGTTGTGGTCGATTTTTGGTAAAAAAGGAAGGTTATACCCTGCAAACATCCAATCCGTTAATGATTATCAGATTGTTTTTGGTGTCCACGGTATAGATTGGTTCTTATTACAAAAAATTGATCGATTGTTGGTTTTTGAAACAAGCCTATAAGACTGGTAGAATTATGGAAAGCTTTTTTTGGAGTTAATAACTAGTAGTGGTCAATATCATATAAGGGGTTTGTACAGCTATGAAATCAATGAACATGCATTTGACACGAAGTGAAAATAATTTCCAAAGGTATCACTTGATGCTCAGAATCGCAAAAGTGCGACATGACCAAGTACATAATAAATACATACCTTATTGTTATCCTGAGAGAATCCTATCTGTTTCTGTATGTTTTCTTTCTCGTCAACATTCGAACCGGATTCATTTATATGGGAAGTATGGCATTCGGTGCTGTCCAACCCATTCGTAAGTTGATCTTTAAAGGAAACGTGTGTAGGGGTTCTATTTCCGGATATACCTTCCGGACTAGATTTATTTTTGGTATATTGCTCTGTTTCTGATCTAGCCAGGAGACAGTCCATAACATCTGAATCAGGATTATTTTCAGCTTCAACTTTACACTCGTTTTCTGGAGATAGCTCTTTTTCGATATTTCGACCATTCGAACTTTCTGATTCATTTTTCAAATTTAATTTAACATTTCTCGCATCCGTGCCGGACGAGGGCTTTCTATCTTCATCTAAATTATGTGTTGCAATATTGCTTGTTAGTGGTACACTTTTACAGGCAAATAATGGAATTTTGTGCCCATTTTTGCTGCGCTGCTTTGGTAAGTGTTGTCCAATATTGGCCGGATTGAAAATGTATGGACTAGGTGGCGCTGCTGCACGTTGGACCACTCTAATACCCATTCGGACCGTGGTGCGTCGGTGAAGCTTTTCGTCCAGCTTCTCAGCTGAAAATTAATGGTAACGTTACTTTAATTTTTATGAGAAGCATTCTTATGGCAAAGAGTTTTTTTTATTAACGAATTAGACCACTTTTGGTAATCACATCTGCTATAGATATGGCGAGCATTCAAAGGTTTAATTAGGTACTCCTCAAAACGGAAATGGTGCTAACTCTCTGGGAGTGAGGCCGTTATTGTGTGATGATTTTTTAAACATGTGGGAAAATTTAATGATTTTGGACAATTTTCTACACAAAATTCTTTGGACGGTGACAAAACAAATGGCGGAAACGAAATGCCATACTTTTCCGTGGGCCATATAGTCCGCCATACTCAGTTGAACGTGTCGACTGTTGGTTTTTTTTTGGGTGATTTGCTACAAATTAATTTTTTTGTGTGCATCAGCCCTCAATCATTCACACGACAATCTTCCTGCCATACCGCTCCGATGGGCCCGCATAGCCGCCATACCGCCGCCGCAAAGATGTAATTTTTGTTAACTAACTTAAAATTGCCAGATTTTGAAAAGATCGAACGAAATTACTGTTTGATGAAAATATCTCAATGACAGAACAAAATACGGCCAGCCTGATTTTTACTTCCACGCACTTGCATAACATGTTAAATTAATAAATAAAAAATTCTGTCCAACCGTTCACATTCTTAACAATATAAATTATAATATGTTAATTTAGAGGACTTCAAGTACTCGTAGTGAAAAAAATAGTATACACCACGGTCGAGAAGTCTATTACTTATTGCCTTTGCACCTTACATCTTGGTGCTCAGGCGATAATACTAGACTTCTCTACCTTGGTATATAATGTACTATATATAATGTACGACGGTGTCATAATTACAGATTTAGCATGGCCAATTGGATGTCATTACGGCTTTCATAAAAGCACTAGCGTTCTTATGAATTCATAAAAGCACAATTACTATTATTTTCTATAGCAGACGTCAAAATTGACAAACGCTATTACCATGACATCCAGTCGTATGAGCACTTGATAATTTTGAATCATAATTTATGAAAACGTTTAGATAACTGAAAAATCTGAGTAAAATCTATTTGGACCGTCGTAAATTAAATGTTGAATGATACACGTTCTATATGAACGTTATTAATGAAACTTGCGTTTCATTATGACGTTCATAAACGAACTTGTATCATTAATAACTATTAATACACCATCACATAATGTCTTCATTTAAATCGTGTAGGTAGCAAAAAACTCGAAAGTTGCTTATGATGTAGCTTCAGTCAATGTGTACCACTGTACATTGTACAAGCACGTATAGACATCTCTTGAGACCCATCTTCATTATAATTATTTACATTTCACCATCGTTATTCAAAATCAACCTCATATATCTTGCTTTTGAGCAATTCGACGGAGTAAACGCACAACCTACCTTTATTATAATATTCGTATCCTTTATTATATAATTATACATCGGTTCGGTGATGTATAGGTAACACGCATATATGTGTAATTTAAAATGTTTTCCTATATTTCCTCAAGTAACGAACAGAGCTAATGTCACAATTTTCTTTTATCTGAATTAGACAAAAATACCCAATACAGATATACGTTTGCATCCAGCCTGACAAACTGTTTTGATTTTTAAATGGAAAACTAATTTGAACATATTTCTGAAAACTTGTAGTAAGTAAGGTTCATTCAATTTTCTGTCCTAGAATCTCTCACCAAACCCTTATGCGACTCTAGGTCGAAAAAACAGCTGTTGATGTTTCGAAAAGCTGTATATTTTTTATTTCCTTCACTTTCAGTTATCAAGCAGTTACCGACCGACAGACATTTCTTGCACCAATAGAATCACTTTCACCTCTAATATGGGCGCCAATTTTCTGCAATTGCACATTCTTGTAATACATGGCGTCAAAAATAAACACATTATTTAGAATAATTCAAGAAAAAATTACAAAAAAAAATCACAGACGTAAATTTTAGATTAGAAGGAATCATTTGTTACAATCACACTGTCTCACTAATATACCCATTTTTTATTGCTATAATACAACACCTATTCTAATGAAGCAATGGGTCAAGTAAGATAACTGTAACTTTCTTCTTTGATACGTGGAAATTGAAGAATTGTAAGAATGTGAGAGAAACGAAAGAATTCGAAGAATCTGAAACATTCAAAGGAACGGAAGAATCCGAAATATTCGAACGATCTGAAGAATCTGAAAGATCAGAAAAATATTCCATTGAGAAACATCCAAAGTATTCGAAGTGTCCTGGAGAACGCGAAGAGGTCTGAAGTGTGACCAATTTGACATTTTTGTAAAAAAAGAACCCAAAGTATTTTACAATTTTCATGGAACGGGAAAAATAAAAATTATGAGAAGTTTAAAAATCAAAATAATCTGAGTTATGCGAAAAATTTAAATGATAAAAAATCGGAAGAATTATAGATAATAGAATCATATAAGAATGTATCTAAAAATCAAAAGAACGGCTTTCGAATCCGAGTTATACGACGAATCTAAAAGATTAAGAATGGGATGACTGAAAAGAAATGAAAAACTTAAAAACATTAAGATTTTGTTTGATCCACTCATCCACTGTGGTTTACAAAAAATATGGCCACCGTGTGGAATCTTACGGGAAGACGTATATGCAGAAACGTTTAGTTTACCCATCAAAAAACATATTCCACTATAAGACACTTTTGAAAAAAGATGAGTGGTATCAATTCTGACATGTCAATATAAGTATTGTTGTGATGATACACCAACCAACAACATTCGATATCATTGATATCATTTGGACTATTATGCTTGTGAAGACATTTGGGAAACATTTCACAAAGAATTATAGTAGTTCCTTTTAACGTCGTGATTTTTAGGTTGAAGCAGGTACCGATTAAATAATGGTCCACTACTGAAATGAAAAACAAGAATTTTTGCAAAGATCTTGAAAAACAAAAGCTTTGGGCGTAGAATGGTGAGAAGCAGAAACTGGGCGAATGTCAGCTATATACCGTCTGTCGCTTAGCTTCGGCCTGGCGAGTTAACACTTCATCCGGTAAACAGAGTGTCTGACCCGTATACGAAAACAGTGCGAATTCCAGGCAGTACAATTGCAAGAGCTTCAAGCCAAGATTTACCCCAAACAAAGGTACATCGAAGTTCAAAATTTAAATTGAACAGCACACTACCATAGGTATGTATAAATGCTGAAATTATTGTAACTGACACGACATCGAAGCTCGGCAAACAATTTCAGCAGAAAACTACAAATTGCGGAGCCAGAGTCTAACAAAAACTTGCCTTTGACTTCAGGACCTCCATAATCTGAAACCCTCTGAGGGCTCCACCTCAATGAGTACTCGTGCTTTATGGGTAAAAGCCATAGAGTCTAAATAAAAACCATCCATCATGCAATTACGCTTTGACGGCCGCATTTTTCTTGCTGATTTTGTGACGTTACCCACCGTATTTTAATGGCCGCTATTACAGAATTGGTATTTTTTCTTCTTTTTGCCAACCGTCCACAGCCACCTTCCACAAGACTTATCGCCACAGGTTCATAGAATAGAGGCGAACAAAAGACCAAAATAATATGATTGGAATTTAAAAAAATATATTTAGTTATTTATTTAATTTGTCTCGACTACTAGTGGCCATTGGCACGTTTACAAGTAGTTATTCACAATGCAGTCTGCAGTGACACTAAGAAAAAATTAATATGATGGAATTAGTTATGAGATTCAAAATACATATTGTTACTTCGGTGTTTTAGCTCAGTCATCTTATATAGCGGAAACCTATTGAGTAACGTAAATAATGTTATAGAATGGCTTGGATGGTTTTTCCATTTAGAAATTCGGAATCTTCAACTTTCGAAGGTTTAAATCTCCTTAACGACAGAGCTGAAATTTAAAAGGAAGCGTAAGTACATATATCGCACGAACACTTTGGAAATTACCACGAAGACTACCTCTGAAAGTGATAGATATTGTAACGGAAATGCTCTAGACATGACGTCGCCTTTGGCGCTCTGGAATTTTCTACGCGCGCGATAGTGGGATTGTGTAGGAATATTCGAGAATGTACGCGGATGTTCGGGACTTACATTGCTTGCGTGTATAAATGGTTGCGGACCGAACATCGCGCCAGTTTTACTACCGAACGAGATCGAGCGCGGAAATATAAATTGCGAAGTGTGTGATATAAATATCGATATAAATTGTACGGTTTTTATAGTGTTTTAGCTTTGTTTAATAAATATTGATATAAATCGAACCCGAATTTATAAATCACGTTACAATATGTATGTCGTAGAATACAAAATAATTCCTGCAAAATATGTTTGTTAAATGAAATGTGTATGTAAATAGCAAAATGGCTCATTAAGAGAGAATATGTAGCGCTACTTACACACCGCATTAGAGCAATAGAAATTATACTGTAATGCGCCTTAAAGCTCCACAACAGACTATTACGCCCTTAGTAAACCAGGCACGTGGGAGCAAAAACCGTGCAAATATATCTGAAAAACGCTGATTGCGCGGGTATAAGCTCTGTAGTTTCCTACGCATTTTTCGTTATTTCCAGAATTAATTCGAGAGTTGTGTCTCTATTTTTGTTAGCTACCGAAAAGAATATCCACACACAGTTCTGTTTGTATAACAAATTTAGACCTTTGGTTAATAGCACTTCTCATTTACAGCATTGATTTCTTCACTAATAATAAACACGCGTTGAGTTAAATTTTGTTTACACTAGTCATCTAATTTATTTTTGGCTTTTATCTGGATCACACCCCATTCAGTCACGTTAATTTAAATATTTAGTGAGATGGGGAAACATCATTATATTACATATAAACAAGAATTAAACAGGGGCACGAGTCGGTGAAGTTGAAGTGTCGACTTGAAAGGAATTAAGTTCCAAGTATCTAATAATTTTCTGCTCATCAGGTTAATGTGTAATTCAAATTTTTCTGACACTCCCACTTCAAGTAGTATTC